TGACCAACATTCAATTAGTGAATTTCTGATTATATTAAAACTTCCATAATTGAAAAATTCAAAAACTAATGTACCTTGAACAATTGATTTAACATGTTTTGCGCATTTTAAAACATGTAAGTTGAAACACACATGAAACTCTTCTTATAGCTTTCAATAATTACTCCAACCCACATTTTAATAGCCTCGTCACTATATTCTTAAATCATTAATAATATTATATATAATAATGTCTTATTCTCAAAGTTTAATTAATCAATTAAAGATATCATAATTTTGTAAGCCTAACGTTATTAAAATATAAACGTTTATCTATAGAAATGGGCCACTGGCTTTTAAAAAATCATATTCATATAATTAACAATTCTGAAAATATCTCCTTTTCAATAGGGGAGACCCATGTGGCAGACAATCCCTCCAAAGACGACATCGCAATAAGAATCCAAATTTCTGACTTATGAGCAAGGGTGGTCCTGGAACAGAATCTAAACGGCGTCGCATAAAATATACAGTACATCAAAGATTCACCACCCAAGTCCAAGTTCCAACCACCACAATATCTTGTGAGATACTCTAACTCAACTCAACCCTCATCACCAATTTCGTGTCGGCGACGGAATCTTTGTGGGCCAGATTGTAAAGTTGGTTATTATCCTTGTTGCAATCAAAAAAGATCCACATTATCGGCGAGTTTTTCTCACAACCAATAGTGTCCTGACAGCTCATACAAGGATTAAAATATGAAAACAATTCTTATTGTTTTTGACAACACATTCATGCCTATCTTAATTCCCCTGCCCAATTTAAAAAATAATAATAATAATAATAATGGAATATTGCTTTAATCTGATACGCCGTCCGAATGAGGGCATAAGGACAGTTTGAGCGTAACAGGGGTTGTATAAAAACAATTTGAGATGATGTGGATAATTGGTGCAGAAATGAGACACAACTCATTTTGGAAGTATTCATTTTTGTACTTATATTATAAGGACATCGAGACGACGTGTATCGAATTTTTTTTTTGTATTTTTATGGTTTTAGATATATTGTGTGTGATTTTTCTATAAAATTCGGGCTATCACAAGGATATATTTTGACTCAAGACTAGTCTGACTTTATTGGTTGTATGATCCAGTATAAACTCGTTAACACATAGCTCGATCTAGTATAAACTAGTCATGAACAACCTGAATGATCATTCAATCAATTCCCAGACATCTTCAAATCCTAGATATTACGAAAATGACTAAATCAACATCAATCTTAGTGCCTAATTGCAAGAATATAGGAATTGTAGTTCAGATTAATTATAATCCATTTATTTTCGCTATTTCCTTTGTATAAACCTTGTATATAAACCCTCACAAATAATGAAAAAAGGGGTTACGACTTTGACACATAATTCACTTTGTAAAGCTCTCCTAGCAAATACAAAAAACAGTGAATGTATGCTCAAGAGTTTACCTCGTCGAACCACTTTAAAAATTTCTTTGTCATTTACTTTATTGTATTTATTATTCATCCACTGTTGATTACCTCTATTCTGATCCCACCAAAGTCGATCGAAATTCTCTGATTGGTATAGATTTCTGTATCAACAGGATAAAACAAGGGTACTCGAGGAAATAAAATAAAATAAAAAAGATTAACTTTGTGGCTTGAGCTATGCATGAATTAGTATCTGATTCTGAGGATTGAGGACTTGAGGTGAGGTCGGAACCCATTATGAAAAGTTAACGTTTAGGGAATTTTACCTGACATTATAGACTTGTATCATATAAAGGCCCTGGGGAGCTACGGTCCAGGTGGGGCCTTAGTTTTTCTTTTTCTTTTTCCTAAAAAGAAAATAATATTTTATTTTTATTATTTCTCTGCAAACTTTTTGCTGGTTGCTTTTATAATTTTTATAATTAATGATTAATTCATTTCACTCGTAACGAGTCATCACGTCTTAGTGGTGACAGATAGATTTATTTATGTAAATTTTATTTTTAATTATTTTTAATCTTATTAATTGATTATACTCATCCTCAAAAATAAATTCCCTAATTATACCTAATTCTCCTTAATGTCAAATGATATGTTTGAATAAGTTAAAATAGAGAGTTAATAAGGCTAATCCAACTTTTAATCTATTAACTAACTTTAACGACTGATACGACATATCTCAATTATTATTTTTAATGTTTTCTTTGATTTAATTAATAATACCGAAAGTTAAAGACAGAATTCGAGATGAAAAAGCATGAGTTATTTATGGTCATCTTCTTTATTCAAAACCTGTGACCACCTTTGGAAAGTACATTTCAATGTTGGAGGCAGCAACCGGAGAATGACTTGTATCTCTATCCAATGGAGTTAGGCGAAAGCAATTAATGTCAATCACGTATGGATATGGTCGCTCATATTGTCGTTCAAAATAATAATAATAAAAAAAAAACTCTAAATGTGACGCTCTCTAGGTAGAGTAACGTTACAGTTACAGAAGTAGTGCACCGAATTTATGCATCAAATAACGTGGTAAAATCTTGACCATTAATTAATTTTAACTTAATATTAATCAACGGTCAGGATTTTGTCACGTCATTCGATGCATAAATTCGGTGTATAATCTTCTGTAGCTGTATCTTTTCTGTTCTGGATATAACACGGACACAAGCTTTATTTATATAATGAAAAATGTAAAACTATTTATCTACTGCATTAATTTTTTTTCTAAGTTGTGTAAATTATTTTATATTAAGGGGGCGTTTGGTTCAGGGAATGTTAGATTACTGGAAAATTAGATTACTTTGAAAATTACTGGAAATATTTAGGAAAATGTTTTTAGTTAATTGGTGGGCATGTTATATTAATATGTTTAGTTGGAAAGAATAAATTGGTGGGTATGTTATCTAAATTATTAAATTGTCCTCTAATTAAATATTATTTTTTAATAGTGATTATTATTTAGGTTATTATAAACCCTGCATTTAAAAACTTAGCAAAAACAACCACATAATAAAAATTTGGAAAATCAATAAAGCACCCCCACCAACCTAGCCACTGCCAGTCGTCGGCAACCACCGCAGGCCACCGGCATCCGGCAACCTAACGGTACACGAAAAGTAGGAAATGACCTCCATGCGTCGTTTTCGGCTAGATATCTGGCTATTTTCGGCCTTTTGTGTGCCGTTTCGACTATTGGCCATCGCGACAGGTGGGTGGGGGTGGCGGCAGCTTAGGCGGGTTGTAATTTGTTTTGAATTCAAAGGTAATTTTATCAAAAATGTTAATTAATTGGGGTGAAATAGTAAAAACCATATTCATGTGAATAAATTTAAAAATAAGAGCATTATTGTCTTAAAATTTTATTAATAATAAATAGAATTGTAACAAAAAAAAAAAAAAGATAATCCTAATAATCTTAGAATACTTAAAAAAATAAAGATAATCTGGTTACCTTTAATATTATCAATAATAATCATTATTAATATTTAAAAATTATTAATATTTTATATTATTTGATAATTAAATATGATAATCAAATAATATAAGATAATTTAACCGAACAATCTCATGTAACCCCAATCAAACGCCCCGATTAAGTAATTTTAATTTGTATACTCAATTGGTCGGAGTACCAGAAGAGAAACATTGAAAAATGACAAGCTTTATTGGCGGTTATCGGAGGGACTGCCACGTTGTGGGCTCTTGAGACTAAAATATTCTGTGGCTGTCAGCTTGGACAAGTGGTCCCCTGAGCGTCTATCTGTCACAATTATGGATTTATGGTCTGTCATTCTCCTGATAATATATTATTAATTTTTTTATATTAGATTTTTCTTTCAATAATCTATTATGATGTAAGTAACAGTAACACCGCACTTAATTTTTGAAAACATTATACTGGAAATGATTTGTTCCCAACTTAACCCATCCAATCTTACTTTTGGATATCATTATTGATATAAAAAGATATGAATTCATACTTCTATTTTGGTATCAATCAAACCTTGATTTTACATTAATCGATATCATTCCTTTACTTGTACAAATTTAAAAATGGATATTGTATTAAAATTGGACAAAAATATCGCATGGATTTTGTTAAATTTTTTTACTTGGGGAGATGAAACTGAAACCAGAGTGTTTGATGACACCTGCTTCATTTTCCCCCCATCAATGCCTCAGATTATTCTGTATTGGTTGGTGTCAATGTCCAATCATAGGTTTAGGTAAATATAATAATGAAAAGGTTGAATTCTGGATTACATTTCGATCAATTCCAGTCCTTTTCTTTATCTTCCCATGGACAACTTGAAGTAAATCATATACAGATTTCGTCCTTCAGATGTTCTTTCCTTTGAAACCATCGTCTAGGTGTGTTCAACTCAAGCTGTATTATGTCCCACACCACTTATTATTAGTGTCAGGTGAAGGCTATTAATATAAGGTAGCTTAATTAAATTATATAGAATAATATAAAAATAACAATGCCACTGTCCCAAACAAATAAAATATTACAGAGTTACATGGTTGATAAGTAACAACGTTTATATAAAGACACATTTATATATATAATTCACAGCTTAATTACTAGCTTCCACCCAATGGAAAAAAAAATACATTCATCATCTTATTATTCTATAGCTGAATAGCTATAGTCATCTTCAGCTGGAGCCTGGGAACTTACTGAAAGAATAACAAAGGCTCCATATATGATTGTAAGTACAGCAGTGAAATTGACAAGCAAGGCCTCTGATCCATATTTAGCGAGACCAGAACTCTCCAGGAATGTGAGCTTCTCCAAGAAGCCTATGGCAGCAGTGGCGACTGCCAGGACATAAACGAACAGCCCGAACAGCACGTGCCAGGGCAGCGACGCGCTCCTTAATGCATCTGTTCCTCCGGGATAGAAGAATAACAGAAACCCGTATATCCACTACAATATTTTAAAGTATCTCTCCATGTTTAGATTAGATGATCAAAGTTTCATAAAGAATAGAAGATTACAATAATGAAAGGGGAATTACCTGAATGCCATAAAGAACAATGACAGATATCCCAAGCCAGGAGTGCAAGCTGTAAAGATTGGCGATGGAGCTCTCATTATGATATTTGAATGCAGCGTAGATGCCAATACAGCCCAGTATCAGTGCAATTGCATGGAGAACAAGATGTATAAGCTTCTTTACTTCTTTTCTCCAAATAAGCGCTTTATAACTTATAATGGCTGTAATTGTTGAGTGGAAAAACAAAATCAGATAGAAAGATTGCAAGTTTTTATTGAACTAAACCTCAGAATTAACGTTCCTAAAAAGGGTAAGAAATATCAAACTGTAGCCATCTGATACAATTACAATAAACAAAATTACGTAAATTACCTTCACCCCCAATGATGATTAGGCCAATAAGCATAAGTACCGGATGAAGCTGTTAAAAAAATATACAAAGAAAACATAATAAGAACATAACGTTCTTAGATAAAAAGAAGCCCTTTTATCTAAGTACTTTGTAACAAGAAAAGCTGTAAAGTGTTTCAAGAATTAAAGTTTGATACTTCATGGCTAAGCATTATATTTAATCCTGCAAGTATTGCAAAACAATCTTATTGATGATGACCTAACAACCATATCTGAATTAAGACTGTAATAAACTTTTGAAGTTCAGTTCACATCAAGGTTGAGATATATCTAGATCTAGTAGAAAATCTTGACCAAGAAAGAAACCAACAAAAGCACTCGTTATCGAGAATTCTGGACTATAAAACAGTAAGGAAAGAAATACTACCAAACAAGCCAACAAAATGAATAGACAACATACGATCTAATCCTTTTTTTCACACCACACAGAGGCTTACACCAATGTGAGTTTCAGCAAAATAAGTCCAAAATGGATAAATATGTGGCCACATCACACACATATCCTGTGGAGTGTGGAGTGCACAGATTTTTGCTCTCATTAATAAGTTAAATCCAATAAAAGTCTTATTTCTCACTAACATACAATAATCATAATAATAATATTTTTAACATTATTTTTTTAATAACTAAGGTGTCCGGGCAATCTTGCCCGCACTTTGACTAATCCTAACGGACCATTGAATATATTACAAACCTGATATTTTAAGGTAAATCACAAATGTAATAGGTGGATCCGGAATAGTAATATAAAAAGAAGGAGGGAAATTGAAGAGTAGGTGAAAACTTTGTGCAAAGAAGGGTAATTGGTGATGAGAAAAAAACATTATAAAGTTTGGTGCACGTGGAGAGTAGATTTTGGTTTATTAATTAACTTGGTGTGGTTAGTTGTAAATTAATGCCTCCAAAGGATAAGACATAAATCTTACTTTAAGATAAATGGTAATTAAATACGCCAGAAATGTAAAGGTACCTTAAATTAAATTAATATAAATAATTTTAGACCATTTTATCCCAATTACACTTTTTTTAATAAATAAAAAAATAAAGGCAAAAAAAGGAGTCTTAAGCCTTAAGGCATTGGATGACATCCAATACCAAATCATGAACGTGAGAATTAACAAACATGCCAAAATCGAATAAGATAAGGAATTGATTCTCCTCATGATAATGGCATATTTTTTGAAAGCCCAAAGTCAAGAACAAGAGTCTTCTTCAACCTTTCATTAGACATTACTTAATGATTAAAGATAAACTAAAAAATAAGCAACTTGTTTGGGACATTATTGTATTTTAACTGCACAAAGCATTGAAAATGGCGCACTCAAACCACCAAACCCAGAAACTATGACTTACCAAACTTCGCAGAAAGCAACACAAATGATAAACAAGAAAAACTTTCAATATTGATGGAAACAAACAGTTTTTGATTAAAATCAATAAAGAAGAAAACCCGGATTTAGAAAATAAAAGTGGAGGGAGGGCTTACGTTGAAGATGAGACTTTTGTTTGAAGCTTCCCATGCTATTCCACCTCTAAAGTGCAGTACCCAAACCAGTACAAAAACTGCTCCGATAACCGCAAGCGCGTGTACCACAAAAGTGAATGGAAGAGCCGGTACTGCTATCGCCATCTGTTTTCTTCTTCTTCTCTATAGGAATTCTGAGAGGATAGAATAAGCAAACTGCAAACAGAGCAGTTCCCGTTTTTAATCTATTTCTAATTTCTTTGGCTACTAGTGGCTACGTCTCTCTTAGTTGTATGTACCGGTTATTCCGGGAGATCATGGCCGTTGAATGGAGGATTTTTGTTTTTATGTTGGACGATGCCACGTGGCTTGATTATTGTTGCACTTCTTGTCCCTTGCTATTTGCATCTTCGCGTCTCTGCCTCTACCTTGGACTTGGACAGTCAGACGGCTAACTTGCCTTTCCAAACATGCCCTTGTGAATTTTCACCTAATTATTTAATATTACTACTCCTTTAATTATTTATCTTATTGTATGATACCAGAAAAACAGCCACATTCAGAAGAGAAGGCTGAAATTGTCTTAACATATTAATATCTAATTAAAAAATAATTTACAGAAAAAATAAATCATAATTCTAATTTAATGGCTTTCCTAAAATTTGTAAAAAGAATGAGGTGATTAAGCAATGAGTAGCTGTTAAAAGTTGTACCGGGTAGTAGTGTTTTTTTTTTTTTTTTTTTTTCGCAATGTCCTAAGATTCCACTTCAAAAAAGTGGACGTGGATCTCTATTTCCATTTGACGGCAAGGGTTGTACGACGGCGTATTGCATGCAAAGACGTTAAAGGGCAATTTGATTAGCCAGCTGCAAATGGAAATTGAAGTAATCAATGACATCATAAAGTTTGACGGATTTGAGTGTGGGCCGGATTCAAAACGAATACCTGTGGGCATCCAATTTTGTAGGTGGAATCTACGGTGAGGATTTTGTCATCTTGTTTGGACTTTTGATCACTCTGTAGTCTGTATATGAATTATGAGGAGCATGACAAGCTGTTGATCAGATCAAATAAACATCTCAATCATAAACGAAAGAGACGTCCCACCTAAATATCTATCCATTTTGAATCAAATATCAAGTGATCTCTAATTCACTAGAGAATCCGACCCAAAATTACTGGGCCTATTGGGCCTACAATTTCCAATCATAAGCCCAGCCCAAGAAGATTGGTTTCCAAATGAGTTTAAAGCCCATCGAATTTGGGCTTTCAAGAACTCAATTTCATTCTTTTTAGAGCAATCGACATGTTCCCACCCTAGGTTTAACGACACCCCAAATTCATACCCCTGGTTACATTTATTTTATATTTCCACCCTTAAACTAACACTGTTAATAAATTTTGACTTTTGAGTTATGCTATTACCATACTGCCCTTGATTTTTGATTTCACCCCACGTAGCCATCATCACCATCCAGCCACCACCAACACCCACCAAACCCACTCGATCGTCGTTAAGGACTGATCTTGTCTAATTCCGACATCGACTGACCAATCCAACACTACCATCAAGATCCTCTCATCTCCCTCTCCAAAACCCCTCTCATCTCTAACCGTGTGCTGTCACCGTTTGTCGACCACCGCAATTTTTTTGTTCACACAGTCGTAGTCTGTTAGGCCTGATTTTAGCTCCAAAATTCACCCTCTCACCACCCATAGACTCACCGGTCTCTCCTCTTCCAAAGCCCCAACAACCTAAACTGTGTTAGCTCTCCGATCATTGGCAACCTCTTATAGGGTTTCTTGTGGGTTTTTTTGTGAATTTGGGTTTAAATAGGAGTTTTTATGGAGTTGTTGGGGTGAATTGGTTGTCTTTGGAGTGGGTGATTGTTTTGTGTTGTTTAGGTGTTTTTTTCTAGCCAATTTCCTCTTGTCGACGACTCACCATCCCCTTTCCTTTCTGTGCACACCAAGTGTTTGAGAATTTGCCTCAACGAACACCTAGTCACTGAGACAACCTTTGTAACCACTGACCAGCCCTCACCAAAACAATCGATCAAAACAACGGCGTTGAAATCAGGCCAAACTGGCTTGAATCGGTGATTGCCAAAAAATTGATCAAAAAAGTGGCAAAAAGTGATTGTCCCTTGGTGGAAAGTGGCGGTCGTAACCGACAACCGGTGAGTAAGTGAGGCAAAAGGAGCAAGGGTTTTGCGAGCAGATAGAGGGGGTTTAAATGGTGGTGGTGGTGAAGATTTCCAGCTGACAAAACGGCTGAAAAAGCTGCTGCAAAGTGGTTGTTTGCGCAAAAAAAAAAATAGTGGGCTTTTCCGACAAACAGTGAGTGATCGAGCGATGGGGTGATATAGGTTTTAAAGAGGAGATGATGAAGGATCGAATGGAGGTGACAACTCAGATTTTCAATGACAAAAATGCCCAAAAACTAGTCGAGAAGAATGGAAGTCGTGCAAAAATACAGGTTTCTAAAATAACCATTTTAGCCTTTAATTATTTAATTATTAAAAAGAAAGTAATGGTGTCCATTTAAGAGTGAGAATTTGAAATTTTTGAAACCAGAGGAATTAACCTAAGATTTCGCTAAACTTTGGATGAGAATATGCCGTTTACTCTTCTTTTCATAAGATGGCGATTGCATTTAATCTTCAATAATTTAGTGACAGCTAAGAACAAGCATTAATGTTTTACTTTTTCCTTTTAGAACATGATTATCTATTAATTAAGTGTCATGGAGGGTTTACTTTATGCTTTTGGAAGAACTATTACTGGTCCAATATGTATCTCTTCATATCAAATAAGATTCCGATTTGGAGTTAGTGGAGTAAATCTTAGATATATCTCTTATGTAAGTATAAAAATGTAATAATTTAATATTTATTTTCTTTATTCTTTGCTTTCATAATTAAAAAGAAAACCAAATTGGGTTTTTTTACCAAGGTAGTATGGCCTTTTTGTTACTTATGTAGCTATAAATGTAGCAATACTTTTCTTGGAAATAATATTATTAGAGTCCCACACTGACTAAACACGTTCAAGCCTATTGAATTATAAGAGGGGATAATCCTCTCATTCAACAAAGCCTTATTGGGTGAGGGGTCAGACCCACCTTAAATTCTATCATGGTATCAGAGTCCAGATTCAGTTGAGTTGAGCGCTTGACCTGCAAGTGAGGAATTAGAACCAGCAACTACTTCCATCAATAGACATGACCCAACATATGGGCTTAACCGTGTAGGGGAGTGTTAGAGTCTCACACTGACTAGGCACGCTCAAGCCTATTAGGTTATAAGAGGGGATAACCTTCCCATTCAATAAGACCTTATTGGGTGAGGAATCATACTCACCTCAAATTCTATCAAATATAATTTAAGAAGTTTTTTGGTCTCATGTTCAAGCAAAGAATAAAGATTATTCGTTCTGATAATATTAAAAACACCTGTCATAGACACTTCTATATAAATCCTAAAGTATTTCAGTATTTGATTGAAATAAATACAAAAAAATTGATATAGTTTTTTTTAGAAAAAATTTTTAAATTAGAAAAAACAAAATTTGAAATGGTCTATGAACAAAAGTATCTAATAAACAATATTTTAGAGAAAGCTATTAAATACTTAAAACAATTTTATTAAAAAAAAATTGTATATATATAATGATCAATTAAAAATATCTCATAAAAACTAAAAAGGCCGGTCAAATTTTCTAACGAAGCCCGTTGGCCATTTCTTTCCCGAGGGCATTTAAGTAATTACGCACACAATTGACAAAACCCTAATTTTCTTCATCCGCCTCATACACAGTATATATATACACTGCGGCTCTCACTAGCAGTGAACTCCTCGTCTCTTTGAGAAAGAAACCCTAACTTTGTCAATGTTTTGTATTAACATGAAAGAAGTGGTTTTTATTTTCTTTAATTTTTTCGGTTCTCAAATGTTTAGAGCAGGGATTGTGTGTATCGGCGTTGTGCCATGATCAATGCACTATGTATCCGAAAGAGTTCCCTGCAAAACCAATTAAGGGAAGGTGGGCAGTTGTGATTCATTTTCCACCATTGATTGCTCAACAATCATCTTCCCCACATTTTAATTTGTCTTTTTCATTTGATGTTTGTGTTATACGGTTTTCAAGAAATTGTTTGCCTTAAACCCTTTTTTTTTTAATGGGCGAGCGACAATTACCCTGATTATTGCTAATATGCGCGGTGACGGAAGTTAGCGTCCGTCCAATTTTTTTTTTTTTTTGCGGTCCCCGCAATCACGCCAGCGTTACTGGTAAAGATGTACATTGCGATAGCACAGCAATTTAACGGCGAAAATGTCACCACGGTAGCGTTGCGGAGTCTTCCCTGTAACGTTACCTTCAAGTGACTTTATCACGGCATCCTTACCCTAGGGATGTTTTAGTACGTTAACATGCCAGATATTGGCTTCGATTGTTTGGATTTTGGGAATACTACTTTTAGTATTTCCAAAAAAGTTAAACAGTAAAATACCTAAAAACTCACAATTTTATTAAACATTTTTTAAATTCCTAATTTGTTAATTCAATTAAACAGTAAAATACCCAAAAACTCACAATTTTATTCAACATTTTTTAAATTTCCTAATTGTTAATTCAATTAAATATCCCTAATATTTAATGTTTTGTTACGGCGACTCCGCCACCCTCCGGCGGTGGTGGCCGGCTGTCCGTATTTGAGGGTGAATTGGGAGTGTTTTTGTTAACTTTTAATATTTTATTATAAGGGTGTTTTGTAAAAAAATAAACAGAGGGGGTATTTTACAATTTATAAACTACATCGTAATACCCTCCAATTCAACTTTTTTTTAATTTTTTTCAAATTTTTTTTTCCAAAAACACAAAATTGTGAACCAAACGGAGCCATTATTTTTCCTGTACCACGTTATACGGTACATCACATCACCGCCAGGTCAACTGTTACCATGTTAACAAGGTAGCATTGCCGAATAACCTTTGCCAGAATCCTTTTCCATGTAATCTTGCTAAAATATGATCACGTAACATTGCCGGCCTTAGAATAGAACATTATCACTGCATATACAAAAGGAATATCTTATGCAGCAGTAACATTACCGAGAATTAATCCCATCGGAATGGTAAAATCTGCAGTTGCATTACCATTGAAGCAAATAAATCTGATTATAAATACAACTGTTAAAAGGACCCAACCTGGAGAGACAATTTATTTCACATACAACTTGTTCATTCATTAATATGGATGGAGGACTTAATAGACCACAAAACTGAGAGGGAGGACCAACATAAAATTATCAAAGAAAGGCCAATAAAAAATTATCAAATATCACAGAAACCAGAGACTGAAGGTTAACAAATTTTTAAAAGGCAATACAAATATAAAGAAAAAGAGTGTACATTGAATATTGTGTATGATGAATACTGTCTTTAGAAATTACATCATAATTTAAAATAAAATTAACTTTTTTTTTTTTTTTTGGTTTTTTAATATCTGTCCTGGATCCCGGGACAATACTTCAATCTTTCTCGTTTTCTATGGGTTTGTGGGTTTGCTGGGCTATCGAGTAGGTGGAAATGAGGCATATTATTTTTCTATATTATTAAATCGAGTATTGTATCGTGTATCCAAAATTTAATTTTTTGAATCGTATATCGGGAATCGTATCATAAAATATATATTTTTTTTAAAATAATAAAATTTTTCTGAAAATTAATATCATTATCAAGATTAATTAACAATTTTTTTTGATTTTATTGACTTTAAATTATGTTTTTACATAATCAAAACTAATCACAAAATTAAAAATCTATATCATTTCTTCTCAACCATTTATATCATTTCCAAGATCAATGTTAATATCTATATTTTTACTTGTGTTATTGTTATCATGCAAAACGGGCTATATATCTTCCTCTTCACTTTCTTCATGCAAAATGGATAAATTTGGATAGGTTTTAATGAATCGGTTTGGATGACCTGAATCTGACCCAAATTAATAAAGTTATATTGATATTTTTAAGGAAACGAACTGATATGTATTACATCTTAGGATACATACTAATGTATCAAAAAGTTTAGGATATACTTTTTGATACGTATCGTTGGTGACCCGTATTGAATCTTATTATAAGATACATATCGTGTATCATAAGATACTAATAATCATGATTTTTAGGAGTGCAGCTATTGGTTTTTCACTAATAGATTAAAAAAATTTAGATAAATTTTGGGAAGAATAGTAGTATCATTTTTATTTTTCTCTTTGTTTTAATAATAAAATTCAGTCACCACTAAATGTTATTCATTGAATTGAGATGATGAATTAATAAGAAGTTGTAAAAGCAGGGAAAAATGATGGTAGTTGGTAAAGTTAATGTAAATGAAATGAGGTAGTTAAGACATTTAGGAATGTCACAACCATAATTTTAATAATAATTCATTAATATTGGTGCTACTGCTGTCCCCTGTGGTCCATCTCTTAATCATCCTTTAACTAGTATGTTTCATTAATGTTTGTAAAGGACATTTATTAAATCAATTTCTAGCCATTTTTATAAATAAAATGCATTTTTTTTAATTAGGTTTATAATTATTAACTTTCAAAATATTAGATGAATTTTAGAAACTTTTTTTCAATGAAATAAAAATAAATTTATTTTTTTAGAAATTGGTTTGCTAAAACATTTCCAAAGAGCTGAGAACTTACTCTTAAAGTCTTTGACATTTTCAATTGAATGTTTAAAAATGTGTTTTGAACAGAGAACAGTTTAAACATTGATTTTCTCATCATTTACTGCAGAGAAAAATACAGAATTAGTAATAATTCAACACACCAGAAAATTGACCCTTTTTGGTTATGAAGAAGACAGATAAAAAAAGAGAGTAAATAGTCACGAGAAAACACATGCAGCAATAATACCATTCCAATGATTTTGTATCAAACTAAACTGGCCACTCAAGTCTTTTGTGAAACTTTTTAAAGCCTCTGCCTAATTTCCCACAACATAATCAATTCTACTTTATGGTAAAAACAAAATTGTAAACGACAAACTAAATACTTAATGTTTAATGGAGCTTTTTTGAGTGCTTTCTTATTTATATGTTGCCTTTACTTTAAAACGCAAAAGGAAAATGATGCTACTTGGCGGTGCATGGTTTCATCACACGTTAAGTATAATTACTTAGTTTTAGAGCATATTCAATTGTGTTATTTATTTTAAAGAGTATTTTTTATATAAATAAAGAATATTTTTATTAATTTTTAAATATTAAAAATAAAATTTTTATTCAAATTCAATTGACTCTTTAAATTTAATGAAAATGCTTATTATTTTTGAGAAAAAGACTTAATGAGGGAGAGAATTAATAAATAAAATATATAGAAACTTGTAGTTTATTAATTAAAATTGGGATAGAGAGTGAAATTTGACTCTCTAGATGTAGGGAGCTAAACTCACTCTAAAGTGTCTGCTTGAGAGGTTTTTTTTTTTTTTTTTTTTCCATTGGTTCTGAGAGGTTTTTAATTAGACTAGTTTTGAGATGTTTAAAAACCATTACTTGCCAGATTTTTAATAGGCTGATTTTGACTGGTTTAAAAACCCCCCAAAATCAGTGTAGTGTATTTTTGATGGGTTAATAAAACACCCAAAATCGAGATGTTTTGGCTGGTTTAAAAATTTTATCCCAAAAAAACCCCTTTCCACTAATAATCCCTTTGCTACACACAAATCTCTTGCTGCTGTTGACTTCTCTCTAGCACACAAATCTCTTGCTGCTACACATGAAGTGAGTGAATGGTTTTAATTTGCTGCACACAAATCCCTTTGCTGCTGCACACAACTCGTTTAATTTGTGATAGTCAAGAAGCGACGTCAACCTAAAATTAGGCATTTTGGTTTCTGATAGTTCGAACAGAGTTGCTATTTGCAATCGCTAATTCACAAAAGAGTCAACTCCTCCATTTTATGATGGTAATGGAAATCAACACAGCAAACTTCTATCCTCAAGAGCTTCATTACAAATCTTAAATGAAAGAAACAAAAATATATTCCATCAAACCAAATACAACTGCAAACTGAAACTAATGACCTCCAATAATAGAACTTGTTAAAGCAATCATAACTGTCGAGAGAGCCTCTTGTTTGATTGGAGAGAAAGAAAATAAAAACAAATAATGTAGGCATTATCTATATTTATCAAAAAGAGAGAGTGTTTTAACTTTATGGACATTTATGTAAATTTATCATTTAAAAAAACTATCAGAATTGTTGGAAAATAAACTCTCAAGCACAGGTTGGGTGTTTTAAAAACCGCTACTAAAAACCCTTCAAAATCGCTACTGTGGTTTACCCTCAAAACCGCTACGATGATTTACTCTCATAATCGCTACCATAAAACTCCCAAGCAGACCCTTAATTTATATTTAAAAGATAAAGAGTCCATTGGACTCTTATTTTTATGAATATACTTTTTAAAATAAAGAGTCTAGATCATATAAAAAGTCCTTTAGAAATACTTTTAGGGTTTGCTTGAGAAACATTTCATAAAAAGTGAAAATAATATTCAAGTTTCAATATCTAACGTAAATAAACCATTTTCTTATAACATCTCTCTCTCTCTCTCTCTCTCTCTCTATATATATATATATATCTATATATATATCTCTATATATATATATATATATATATATTACCAACTTATGTTTGGTTTTCAATAAAGTCAACTTCTAATACAGTAGACCCTCTTTATAACGATACTCTACATAGAAATAACCTACATATAGTTATAAAAAATTATAATCTCAACTTTGACTAGTTATAAATAAGAATAAATTTCGCATTGTAATAAGTTATAATTTTTTTAGGTCACATCTTAAAAAACTTGCCTCTACATAGTAATAATTATATGTATATTGTAAAAAATATATGCTATGTTATATTAAAAATTTAAGATAAAATAAAATATTTATCTAAAGTTGTTTAGGACAATGATTTATGTTTTAAAGTTGTTACCATATCTTTTATTTTGCGGGTACGTAATAAGCTACCAGCATAGACACCTTCTTGTTGAAGCCAAAATATTTCCAACTCTCAAGCATGTTCAGAGCTTCTTGGCATGAAATTTTTTGTAATTTAATACTATCATTCTTAGAATTATCTTCTTCCTTTTTTTGTTTAATTCAAATAATGATTTTTTCTTCAGTTAAAACATACACGACTTATTGCTCATTTGGATAATTGAGGAAAACACTAATATCTATTTGATTAGAGTAGTGAAGTTATCGAATCTAATCACTCAATTTTACAGTGACTCTTTGATATCTATTTCCGTACTATCCTAATGCTACTAAAACAATGAATTGAAATCCTAATGCTACTAAAACAATGAATTGAAATCCCAACACTACTAAAACATGAATTATAAAATAAAAAATTAAAACAATAATTCTTGTAATTACATCTCTATTAAATTATAATCTCATTATAATAATAAATTTAATTGATCCCAATATTATTACTATATTGAGATTCTACCGTAGTTATAATTTCATTGTAAGTTGGTACAAATGCATCATTACGGTAATAAATTTATCATTAAATGTTTTCATATTTAAATTCTAAAACAAATATTTAACAAAATGAAGACTAATTTCAGAAATACAATAAATATTTTACCTGAAGGAGAAATAAAAATGAGAAAAGCACAGGTTCCCATGTGTTTCCCGTATACTTACAGAGCAAATTGGGAAGATCGATTTGATCTCTAAAATAAAGCGTCCACCATTAACTGTGTGGGGGAAACGGAGAAACATAAATTGGTACTAAAAGGTTTTAAAAAGATAAATAGACACTTTCTATTAAGAAAAAGATTAAAATACCATTTGAGAAATATTAGTTTATTTTTTTAATTACTTTTAGTCTCTTTAAGTTTATTAATTCTATTAGATACCTCCAGAAAAAAGTTTAAAAATTAATAAAAATATCCCCACTCACCCATACTTATCAGATTCTGACGGCCACCACCGTAAATAGCCAGTAATTCACTGATCTGGCCTTTTTTGGTCAGATCTATAGTGGATCTGATCAGAAAAGGTCAGATCTGAAGTGAGAAGACCAGATCTGGCCGAAAAGTGACGGCCAAAGATGTGGCCGTCAGCGATGGAGTGTTGCGGCCGTCGATGGCCAGATCCGACCTTTTCCTATTGTATCCGTGGTGGATTTGGCCGAAAAAGGCCAGATCGGTGAACTACCTGTCATTTCCGGTGGTGGTGTAGACCGTTATGACAGATTTTGGCTACCATCGATGGTGGCCGCTAGAATCTGACAAGTATGGGTGGGTGGGGTTATTTTTGTTAATTTTTAAACTTTTTTTTGGGGGTATTTGATGGAATTAATAAATTTAAGAGGTCTAAAAGTAATTAAAAAAATAGACTAATATTTCTCAAAGGGTATTCTAGTCTTTTTCCTAATAAAAGGTATTTGTTTGTCTTTTTTAAGTCTTTTAGATATCAATCTATCATTTATCCAAACCTTGAGTATGTGTAAGCCGTTCAGCCAATTGTGTGCTGTATGTTTGTTTATGGATATTATTCATGTGGAGATGAAGGCCTTTGGGCCACTGTTGTCTCCTCAAATCACTTTATCAAGCACACTCATATTTATGTCCTATTAGTTTACTTACACCTGGCTCTAACACCCCCCACTTCTCAATCCAAGTTAAATCACTCTCCCATTATTTGGCCCTTCCCATAATTGTCACTATCATTATTATTAGGGTTATTTATGTAAAATCCCATCAATTTCATTAAATTGTGTCAATAGTCAACACCCGCTAGTTTCATAAATACATACCTAACCACCCTTTTTTACGGACCGTTAAATTTTGGAAAGAAGAAAGCGAAGAGAAGGTGGAGAAATCAAAAAGAAAGAAGAGAAGAAACCTACCGAAGAAATTTTGAAAAGAACGAGAAAATGAAAGAGAAGAGGGAGGAGGGAGAAAAATTTATAAAATATAAAAAACTAGGGTTTATTTCTTTTATATTATATATTTGATTCTTTTTAAGATTTTTTAATGTTACTTTACTAAATTACCCTTAACAAACGAGGGTTAGGTATGCATTAATGAAACTAACGGGTGCTTGTATGATTTTATAATACCTAATCCTTATTATTCTAATTCTAATACAATATTATATTCCATAACTACCTCTAATTAAATTAATGGGGTCTCAAATGGATTGAATTAATCTTTCTGCATTGGAACAAGAGATTTATAGATCGGATCACAGTTGTATTAACAATCTTAATATAAGTTTTTGGTAATTAAGCCGGAGAAATTTGCACTTTTTGCTTAGACGTTTACAGCTAAGCTAAGAGACATAGAAGCTCATGAATGAAATTATGAAATTTCAGCTTATAAAGAATGCTTACTTTTGGTGATGAAGACATATCAACGAGGCCTTTTTTGGGGTCATCTTTATCAATAAAAAGTTAAAAGTTTCGCACCTCGTGCCTTCCTGCATTAAAAAGAAAACTACATCATTACTCAAGCAATATTCCATCTTCCCTACAGTAATTAATATTTTAGTTTTATTAAGCTAAAATCAAGACCCTTCTTTATTTATTGATTTTATTCTGTCTTCTGGCATGTCGCCATTTTTTATTGACTTCGGAGAGAGGTTTAAGTCAGCTTAAGTTTTCATTTTCTAAGTGTCCGCAACATTTTTTATTATTTTAATGTCCTTAACATGTTAAGCTGAACTGGACTGGAGCCTCTGGTTTGCTCTCTGTTGTAAACAAAATTAAACTAATCGTTTCTGTCCTACTCATCCCACCTCTAAATTTTGCTGCAAAAAGGTTCTAAACAAGCGGCATTATCATTTGCCACAATCCCAATGAGGTGAGTGGAGACTTGTAACAAAGATTCACAGACAAAAACTAGAAACTTTTATCCGAACCTAAAAAATGTTCAAGTCATGGAGGAACGACAAGAACAAGATCAAAGCTGTTTTCAAATTGCAGTTTCAAGCAACTCAGGTATGACTATGAATTTCATAATGCAAAAAGTAAACCATCATTTTCTATGTTACTGAATTTGTAATGGGTTTCTTCTAATGTTTATGCTTAGAAATTGTTAGAAGTCCAAATTTAAATGAGATCAAGTGATTTAAAGCTTTGATGGGTACAAGATCTTACCTGGTTTTGCTGTATATTAATTTGCAGGTGCCGCGATTGAAAAAATCAGCTGTGATGATATCTTTGGTACCTGATGATGTTGGAAAGACAGCTTTTAAACTGGAGAAAGTTGCTGTTCAGGATGGAACTTGTTTATGGGAAAATCCAATCTATGTAACAGTAAAACTCATAAAAGATTCTAAAACAGGAAAAATCTATGAGAAAATCTACCATTTCGTTGTTTCAACTGTATGTTGTACTGTCATATCTATTTCTTCAGCTCTTTCTCCTTTCTTGAGTGAATCTTTGTTGGCGTTTCTAAATTCTTGTGGTTGTTGTAGGGATCGTCAAAATCAGGTTTTCTCGGTGAAGCTTCAATTGATTTTGCAGATTTTGCGGCGGAAACAGAACCATTGACCGTATCTCTGCCCCTTAAGTTTGCAAATTCTGGTGCAATTTTACATGTTAGTTCTCTCTTCCATTCTCATTTCTTGTGTCTGCAGACACTCGATTACACTTATTAGTTCAATGCTTTCCCAGAAGTTGAGTCTCTCCGAGTTTGCTCTTTTATTTTTCGAAGTTTTGTTTTGTAAATACCTGCAATAATTCATTTATAGTAAATTATTTGTTGAGACAGGTGACAATTGAGAAGATGCATGGAGCTACTGACCAAAGGTGACATTGAACATAAACATTCCGGCAAACTCACTTTTGATATTTTATTATTTTTTCTTTTAATTGATTCATTTCAAGCCTTAAACAATTGGCATATACAAAATCTAAATTGTCATCTCAGAGCTACTGAAGGAAATGGAGATAATACCCCCAGTTTGAAGAATCAAGAAAGCAATTACAGTACTGACGGAGTGAAACAAAATTTTGAAGAAGTATTGTCTCCTATCATTTTACATTGAAAATTTTCTTTTTGCATAATTTTGAAGTTTAAACTAGAATTCCAAACAACTTTAATTGTACAAGATAGAGAAGCACATTGCCTATCCTGAAAGGTTGTGATTCTAATTGTTCCTTGCAGGATGGGAATATGAATATATGTGCATCTCAGAATGCCGACAAAGTACGCAGCCTTAGAGCATCCACTGGCTCTGGTACTAGATTGGCATCAATCTGGGACAACGATTCAGAGCAGAATAATCAAGAGGACCCTGCAAGCATCCAGTCACCTGTCAGACAAAACTCTATTCCTCCTCGGGGAACAGTCAATGCCATTTCAACCAAAAAACACTCGCACCGGAGATCAAACACAGACTGGTCAGTTGGTTCAGTTTCAGATGGAAGTTTGGTCGACTCCACAAACAGTGTTGAAGATAACCTTCCAAGAGACTTACAAGATGCTTCAGATGGTTCAGTTTCTCATCTCAAAAATGAATTGGCTATTATGATGAGGCAGGTGGAAGTATCAGAACTAGAATTACAAACTCTTAGGAAACAGATTGTGAAGGATAGCAAACGAGTGCAGGATCAGACAAAACAAATTGCTGGCCTGATTGAAGAAAGAGATGAACTGAAAACAGAATGTGAACAACTCAGGAGACAGAATTCCATTGCTGAGGCAAAAATTGAAAATGAACTGCAATCTGAGAATGAGCATTTAATGGTTGTGCAAGAAGAAATTAGACAAGAGCTCAATCATCAAAAAGAAATTAATGCCAAATTTCGGTTGCAACTGCAGAAGACACAAGATTCAAACTCTGAGTTGATTCTTGCACTGAACGATCTCAATGAATTGTTGGAGCAGAAAGACAGGGAAATATTTGCTCTCTCCAGCAAGATGGAAGAAACAAGTAAATTTCTTGAACAGGTTCAAGAAACGAATAACGAAGGAAATATGAGAGAGGATAAACACCTATTAGAACTTGAAGCCAAGATACAAAATAATGAAAAAGAGGTAGAAATGTTGAAGCAAAAAATCATAGACCAAAGTGGTGAAATAGAGTTCTACAGAAAACATTCAGAGGAGCTAGAGATGCATGCGAAAAAACTCACTGAGGACTGTGAGGCCTTAAAACAAGAAAATCAGTGTCTTTCTTCAAAGTTGGAGGAAAACCAGCTGCAAGAATCGACGAAGACGAGTGAATGCTTGGAACTTTTGGCCACTGTCGAGGAACTTGAATCACAAGTAGACAGACTGGAGGACAAAGTCAAGCAGCAGTCAGAAGAATACTCAGAGTCGTTAATAGCCATTAATGAACTTGAAAGTCAGGTCAAGGAATTTAAGCGAGAACTAGAGAGGCAGGCCCAAGAATTTGAAGAGGATCTGGATGCTGTGACACAGGCCAAAACAGAGCAGGAACAGAGGGCTATTCAAGCAGAAGAGTCCCTGAGAAAGACAAGGTGGAAAAATGCTGTTACAGCTGAGCGGCTGCAGGAAGAATTCAAAAGGCTTTCTGTGGAAATGGCATCTAAATTTGATGACAGCGAGAAGGTGGCCATGAAAGCAATGACAGAAGCAAATGAACTGCGCATGCAGAAAAAGGCCCTGGAAGAAATGCTGCAGAAAGCCAAAGACGAGCTTGGTTTGACTAAGGATAAGAATGGAGAGCTTTCCAGCCGAATAGAGCAACTGTCTTTGGAATTAGATCATAAGTCTGACCAGCAAGAAGCTTTCTCAATGGAGATTCAAACACTGAGGACTGAGATAGAGAACCTTAAAAGGGAGAAGAATAATTCCTCTCAGGCAGAAAAAAACACAAAGCTAAGAGGTGATGCAGAACAAATATCGTCAGTGGGTGAAACTGATATTTTGATACAAAGATGGAATAAAGAAAAGGCTGATTTGGAGAAGCAATTTGCTTTGGCAAAGAAGGAAGCAGAAAAAGCACATAAAGAATTCATTTCAATGAAGTCTTTGAAGGATAAAAAGGAGATGATGATAGGAAATTTGCAGTCAGAAGTCAAGAAGCTAAGAGTCCAGCAAAGTGAACTGCAAAGTAGCTTGACTGGGGAAGAATTCGAGAAAGATAGCCTGAGAAAACAGGTAATTCAGTTGAAGGATGGGCTACAGAAGAAGGAAGAGCGAATAACGAGTATAGAGAAAAAAATCAAGAATTACAATGATCAAGCTCCAATTTCAGATATGCAAATTATATCAAGTTTGAAAGCGAGATTGGGATTGCAAAAGGTGATTATTCAACTACAAGACTTTAATCAGACATAAAATATAATTACACCTTATGCACGTCTGATATATAAAAACTATGCATAAAAGTGCTACATGTCTAAGATATGACTTGACAAAATGTTATAAGTTAATATTTTTTCACATGCAATTCAAGCATACAACTTAAACTAACAAGTTTACCATGTCAACAGGACCAATCAAAACGGAAGGAAGCGGCACCGGAAACTCCAGGGAGTCCAGCTCTGCTGAAAGAAAACAATCTCAGTATCGTTATTAAAGAACTAGTGAGCATCATGGAGCAGGTTGAAGTACCACCATTTGATGGATACAAGCATTCAATTAGGTATATTAGTTCACTCCTTTTGTGCTCAGATCTATGCAACTTTCCATCTGTGTTCCACCTGTATCTGTCAGTTTGGTACATTTTGAAGATATATGCTATTAAGAAGTTTAAATTCACTTCTAATCACGGTCCTATCTTTTTTACTCCTTTTCACTTTTCACAGGAAGGACGAAATGCGCTCTAAGAAAGGGCTGAAATCGCCCACTTCCCATTCCAGAGATGAGGACAACACTGAACTGTTAACTCAATTGACAATACTGAAGGAAAAAAATAAATGTATGGAAACCGAGCTGAAAGAAATGCAAGAGAGATATTCAGAAATAAGTCTCAAGTTTGCTGAGGTGGAAGGTGAAAGGCAACAACTTGTAATGACTGTAAGAAACCTCAAGAATGGTAAGAAGAACTAGAATTTGCAAATATGCAGGAACTAGATTTTTATAATTTTCCATGAATGAAGTGGCATAATTCTAGGTAAGATCATTATGCTAGAGTTTGATTAAGAAAACTATGTCATGTTGATGAGTGCAACATACTGAACTCATGTATTTGTAGGAAAAGCCAAAAACTACAAAAAAAAAAAATTGATGTGTAATGCTGTAAAAATATAAATGTGGAACCAAGCACCCAATAACAATTCCAGGGCTCTATACCATGCACCTAAGCAATCTTAAGTGAAGTTCATAGATTTCTGGCTTTTTCAACAGCAAAAATATACACAAACACAATTATCTTCACATCATAACTTTAATACTGAACTTTTCAATCAACAACATTAGTTTGTGATTTAATTGATAGGATATCTATAGATCTAATAACTGTATGAATACGAATATAATCTCTTCCATTCTTTTTCTTCTTTTTTACCTTGAACTCTTGAAACAGACATAAATTAGTGTAGATGGAAGTCCTTGTCCTTATCCTTTGATTCTGTTCTAAGCATCTTAGGTTTACAATTACTAACAGCAAAAGGAGCTGATTTTGACAGACTTGTCTGAGTGCCACAGGCACGCTGAAGTGCAAGTACGCATCAAGAGAGACAGATAGATAAAGTTGCATGCTATACACTAACCAATCAGAACATTCATTTCTTGCTAGAAAATTCATTTCAAAGTGTCAACAATGAATCTGTTTGCTAAACTCTCGTTGAAATGACTATGAACCACAGTCAAGTCAGTTCAATATATTTGGCATAAACAGAGCAAAAGTTGTAATTTTGGAGCTCACCTATAAGAGTCATTTAGATACATACTTCAAAACTGTCACAGGTGACTCTGACAAGCTGACACCGATTATTGCAGGCATGAAACTTCATTCAAAAGTTAAATACTATGTCCTGACTAAGAACCAACCTGTAACTTCATTCAAAAAGATCTGAGTCCTAATACACAGCACTAGTGTTGTTCCTACTCTATTTATTGACTCCGAAACTTTTTTCTTGGATCATAAGCACTTCCATCACTCCACACCAACTTAGTTTGGCTGCCACTTTTGTTAGTTGCAAAAGCCAGAGTCTGCAGGAAACTAAATGTATAAATATAATGCAATGTATGAGTATGTGTGTGCTTGATGTGAGTGGGAATATACCTACACTCAGCATGCACACACATGACAAAAGATAGTTCATACACACCTGTCTTGCTCTCTTGTCAATAGGAGTCCATATAGGAAGACATGAAGTTGAAGGCATTTTGTTCTTCGAAGAGCTTGATGATTGTATAGATAGCTTCTGCTTCTTCTGTTCTGGTAAATTCCTAGGAGTGCTGCCTCCCTGGTACTTGAAAAATTCAAGAATAGATGGACTTCTTCTCTTAGTAACTTTTGATGTATTCCCTGAAACCCCAAAGCATGGGGCAGCTGTATCACATGGAAGGGAATGCTGCCGCAATCTGCTCTTTTCCCTGATTCTGTTCAGAAATTCCATTGTCCAGGGTGAACCTGGTTTTGCATTTGCTGAATGAATGGCATTTGAAAGTGGGGTTCCACTGTAATGTGCCATTTCTTCTCGGAATGGCACCTCTTTGGAGTCTGCAAATCTCCTTTCTGAAACCTCCTCTAAGAGGTTTCTGTGGTGCTCCAAAGGCAACTTGCCTCTTTTATAATCAGTATCTGGATGGTCATTAGTTCCTCGTAAACTCTGTTTCAGATCCTTACCAGAAAATACATGTGAACCAGAGTCGACCTCAGTAGCTGTTGGGAAAGTAGGGTGACTGCTTTTACCAAATGAAAATCTTCTTGCAATTTTAGACTTCCCTAAGGAATTGTTTTCCATCTCAGGCACCGAACGAAAGGATGAAGATTTAGACACAGAATAGAATTCCTTACCTGATACTGGACTACAAGTGAAGTTTATAACTTCACCTATAAAGTCCTCTTGCAGATTGCTAGACTTACTGATGCTTTGCCAATCCAAATTGTTCATCCTAGCAATTTCTGATGCTTGGTTTTGATCCAACAATATATCTTTCAAAGAAAAATTGGGATCATTTATTTCGTTTAAGATCTGAGGACCTTCTAAGATCTGATAATCAGATACCTTGGAGACTCTAGAAGGTTTCATTTTCATGTCAAAATCCAGGTCTAGTTTACTATCAAACAAATCATTCAAAGATGAGCCAGGCTTAGCATAGTCTCCAGATATCTCATTATCCTTCCAAGAATCATGGGGCTTGGGCGCTCCAGAGGTATCGAAGATACTGTCAGAAAATTGGTTCAAGGGCTCCAAATGGAAATTATCCATATGTATGTCAATTTTGTCAGGATTAGAAGTGCATTTTCGTTGTTTTCTTTCAGAATCAATATTCAAATGACACTTATCTGAGTCTGGACCAGAAGATACCGAAGACGAGCAGTCTGTCATGATAGATTTTGAGTCATCGCGCTCCCCATATTTGCACAAAATACTGAACAGGTTGATACTTTCATTAGGAACATAATATTTTTGGATTGCAGAGATTCTACGCTCATGTGAAAGCTGAAGGAACTCTGTAAGTGTGCCTATGGAAGACAGCATAGCATGAGCTGTCAGTGGATTCACTGAAGGAAACTTGGTAAGGAATGACTCTGCAAGAGTTTCTGACTCAGGCATTTTAGGGTATAGGCCCCTAGTCAATTTAATGGGATATCCAATGCAGTTCAATATAATTTCTTCAGTTAACTCGGATGAATAAGAATAAAATAGCTGTAAATCTAGTCCCAGGCTTGCTGCAGCCGCATAGAGCTCATCTGAGGATTCCATTACGGTAGAAATGAAGTTGATTTCACCCTCAAAGACCTGGAAAAGAATAAGGAGAGTCAATGATCGCAAAAGTACGAGGCCATTGGAAATGCACCAGTAACTGACAAATACTCTAGTAATAGTAGCTTTAATATTTAACTCAATCATATTCATTAGATATCCCAGTTTTCCATCCATCTTGTCACGATAAACATATAAGAACCCAATTACTGAATCCAAAATTTTTAAAAGAAACAATTAGCCGGATACCGTTCCAATAATCATTCACCAATCAGTTAAGCCTGACTTGCCTAGCATATAATGATCATAAATTCAAAACAAACCAAGACTGACCTAATATTAGGTCATGTTGAATGATTTCTTTTGCAAACTTTCAAGGTCTTCATTTGTGCCAAAAACCATGTTTAAATTGAATATGAAATTCTTTTCTACAAGGCGAGCATGAAAGCTAATTTATTGATAAAAGGAGCTGCCAATGTTTGAAAAACAAAACCTTCTCTAGCCTACCCAATAAAATCATTCGTACTGTGCAAATTATCATTACATTCATGAAACAAAGCTCAAAATAGAAACAATATAAGCTCAGTAAGTATCACAATTACCAGAATGCAGGCACTGAAAGTAAAGCTTAGCAATGTAAAAACATTTGTTGCAATATTTTCCACGCACAGAGGTAAGCATGAAGAAGCTTCATCTGAAGCAGTAGATTTCTTTCCAATGTTTCCAGAATCATACCATATTAGGCAAATTGCAGAACTAATTATAATATCCACAGGCAGATTTGAATCACGTTCCACAACCTGTATCCCTCCTTTCTCCATTGCAAGAATTCTTTGGTATGTACTTCTCCTGGATACTATCATTTCCCTATCAATATTTTGAGTATTCACAATTATGACTGTATCAGGGTAAGACATTATGCACTGCTGAATTTGCTCAGAATCCCTTGCCAATTGAGAACTAGGAACTGGAGGAGGCATACAACAAACTTCTACTTCTGCAGCTTCCCCAGATCTGATGTAATATCTGTCCTCAAGTGGCACAAAGTTTAGCACTTCCAGCAACTGCTGAGCACTCCTATTCTCATTCAGGGTTGGGATAGAATGAGACTCTTCACCCTAGGATACAAATCATGTCAGGGTGGCTGTGTGTTTTTTCCAAAATGTGAGCTAGCGTGTGAACAATATAAGAATGTAGATTTAACACCATTAGTGGGAAAGGCAGCTAAAATCCTAGAATACAGCTAGTGTCCATGTATTTGTAGAACCAAATTTGAAGAGGTGATGCCAATTCTAGGTTAACCAATATTCATGCAATAACTTCCTACTTCAGTCTACATATGGCTTGAAAAAGAATATCAAATTCAAATAGTTCTGACCGTATGTTTATTCCAAGTAAAAAAATCTCATTGAAGTAGAAAAATCAAACAATTGGATTAAAATAAAAACAAATCACACTTTCTATATCCAACATATCACCAAAGAAAGTCCGTTTAAGTCAGCCTTTACCTGGCTTCTGCAAATTGCAGTAAAATTTATTCTATCAAGATATAAGTGTATTTATATACAGCAAATCCAATGATAAACATATGCCTGCCTATAAAATTACATGTAACCCAACAAATTCTGGTTGAAATATTATGACAGAATACTATCTAGTACCCTGGAATTTATTTCAAATTCGTGCAACATATTTATGCAAGTAGAAACAAAAATGAATTTACTGACAATTGGGAGTTCATTAACTAGAGCAATGCTAGCAGTTGATCAATGAGAATATGAACACTTTCTATGTACCCAAGCAGGAAGAATGAATAAGAGAGACTTACCACTTCTATCTTTTGGGGCATATTAACACCTTCACAAAGTGCTCTAGAGGCACTAGAGTTCTCCAGTTCCACTTTTAAGAAGTGAAGACAAGGCAAGCCAGATAAATTTGGGGAAAGAGTGGATACTCTAGATGAGCCATATGAACCACCATATTCCAAGATGAGGCCAAATTTGTTGACGGGAAAAGATGCAGATACCAACCTTGAGGAGAAAGAAAACACTTATTATACATTGCCACTGAATCCTCAATGCTAAGCAGCGAACAATAGTGCCATTCATTATTGGCAGTGATAACTAATAGAATATAACATCCCAACAGATTACCAGGCTCAATAGTCCTAAATAATATAAAGCATTTTGTATCATCGTACATATGAAAGAAGTCAGATCACCATCCATAAGGCATAATTACAGCCTGACAAATGTGCCTCATTTCATTAAGGTATAATATACTGAAATGTTGCACATTATATTGACAGATAAACTGAAACAGGCTGGTGCTCTTTGAATAGAAGCGCACCTGTGGATTGTATTAAACCAAAATGTTCCATTCTATCAACATACAGATTGCACTATATTTAAAACTCAAAGGGCCAATCACAGGGCCAATGTTCCTTGAATTTAAGGGTCTAATCATGCTCATGTCACAAAAAGTTCAACATATGCTTATAACATCACATGTATATATGATGCACCTTAGAAAAAAAATGTAATAAATCTATGATAACTGTAAACCTAGACCTTTTTTGGAACATATAACATTTTGATTATCATTCAAAATCTGGAAGCATTGTAGCAAGCAAATCAAATATCATCCTGATGAAATCAATGTCATCAAATTGATCAAGACTTATCAAGCATCTTCTAGGAGCCCCTTCCTCCCATCCCAAGCTTATGTATATATACACTTTCTCCATACTTACAGTGAGTTGCATGGCCCATTAAGTCATGTATCTTCTTCCAGTAAGTAAGAAAGTTTGGGAAGCTAGAATATACACTATATTAAGTAGAGATAACTCACACAATTAGAGATTTTTCACATTTCGTACTAGCAGGGAACTACATCCTAAACTCTTTGTTATGTAATATGCCAGCGAGATTAGAAGCTTGGAGTTTATTTACTCATGTGAGAAAATTCTAATGAAACCATAGAACCCCATCTATTCTAATTATAGCAAAACCTGTATTCTGTGAATATCAAAAGAAAGTGGACTCTAAAATCCAAATGTTCTGCAATAGCATCTTGGACAACTGAACATTGTGAATTAGAATGTTACTTAGTATCTAGAACAGCTGATATAATGATGTGGGCTGCATCTACGAAATTATCACAAAAACAAAATAAGTCATTGTAAAGCTGCAATAAGCAGATGAAACAAATTTACTGCTAATGGGGACCAACAGAATACTATCTTTTAAGTCTTGAACTTACTCATGAGATACCAGTAAGCAATCAGAATTCAGCAGGCCATCCATTTTAGACTTTTTGGACCCACTATCGTGAAGGACATCTGGTTGATCCACATGTGTATAAAAATTCTGTAGCTCATTACATGATAACCCCATGGACACTACCAAACGCTTCAATGACCACCAGAAAACTTGATCAGCCAAAATTAGTACTTTCAAATTACTCTGGGAAGTGTTTGAATGAAGAATTTCCTGAATAACTAGTAGTGAGGGATGAGATCTAGTTGTTTCTTCGTCAACCTTTCCATCTGCTTCTACAATAAATGACTGCAGGAACCCTAATCTTGATTTCATGCAGTCCAGGCTTTTGCATAACTTATCTACATATAGGCGAGCTGTGTGGATGCCATAGAAACATATGTACCAAGCCATTTGTTTGATTGCACATAGAGTGACAAGTGCTATAGATTTTTCATCCACATGGCAAGAGGCTGTTTGTAATATCCTTTTATTAATGCAGTCCATCAGCTGTAGTTTTGGAAGGCTAAGCAATTTAAAATTATCTGATGCTGCAAATGAGTTCAGTTCTGTCTCATTCCGCAAAATGGCTAGATAACTCTTTTCAAAGATATCAATTAGGGCCACAATATTGTCTGACAACTCAACTCTATACAATGTGATGTTCCACTGCTGCAATTGTAAGCCAGTAGACATGCACGCTGCTGTCAGATTACTAGAAGGAACAACAGTATCAGATTCCTTGACTGTAGCTTCACCCTTCTGTCCAGTGATAGCTTTCCCTGGATTCAAGAAAAAGTCAAGATCATTGAATTGTGACATAGATTTGAATAAAAGTGAAGCCTTCTCTGTATTTCCTTCACCCGATGGTTCCCTTTTTCCTGCTTTTGAACTCCCATCGTCATATAACTTTGCTGAAGCAACTCCTATAAGATGATCATCAAGCACAGAAATTCCATCATAATCAATTTTCAATGATTCATTGGATTCTTCCATGTTTGGCCCAATTAAAGCATCATCAGAGAAAATGAAGTCATATACTAACTTCTCATCATCTGAAGTTGCAACATCAAATTCAATCCTTGACTCTGCCTCCAACATATTCTGATGACAACAAAAAAGTTTGCAATTGCAGATATCTCCCTCCAGAAGATGCCAATCCAAGTATATCCCATCAGATGCAGACAAGGGCTGTGGCCTTAATTCTGCTAATTTTTCCTCCATAACAGTATATATTGATCTTATCTTGTCATGATCAGAGAAAACAGGTATGGGCAAAGACTTGAATGTTTCATCTGTTAGAGCTAGTTCATGACTAATGATCAATTCATTGTAATTTTTAAAATTCATGTCTTCCCTGAACATCCAACCACATGTGCCTGGTTCACCTGTTGTTCGTGTGCTGAAGAAGTCATCGAATAGTTGAGATGAGTCTGTATCAAATATTTCAAATTCCTGAAATATCACCAGGTTTATTGACAACAGCCAAGCACCATCGACCTTCACTAGATGAGATTCAGAATTTTCTTGAAGCTGTGAACTTTCCACCATGCTTAAAATGTCCACTTTATGGAGCAAATCCATTGATCCCAGCTCAGAGTCAAGGCACTGCTTTGATGAACTAAGATCTGAAAGAGGATCTAAGATATCATTGTCCACAGAACCTAAAATTTCCTTGCCATTAATCAGCAGATTATCTTCTAGACTCCAGTGTTGATGTTCCATATTTTCGAGAACTGAAAGAAGTTCATCCTCCATAGTCTGGCCAGTCAAATTACCTAGACTTATTTCATCCACTTCTAAAAGAGAAAATGTGCCACCCTGGAAGAACAGTTGGTCTGGTAGAGAAACATCATCTTCTGAGATATAAGTACTTTGATCCATGCAGGAGTCAAAAGCAACATCTTCAACCGAATAAACTGATTCTTGAACCTCATTAGGATACTGTAATGCAAGCCCTCGCATGAGCATGTCCTGCAAGAAAGACCTAAATTAAGAGGTTCATAAACTCCTGGGAAAACAAGAAACAAAACCTCTACCCTTCTGGATGATCTGAACAGATTGATCTGGTTGACATGCCATGTACATGAGAAAGAAAATGACATGCAAGTTATGTATTAATGCTAAGAGTTTGAACAGAGCGACTAACAATTTTTCCAGGATGTCAGAATTACATTAAAATTGTGAGGCCTCACATAAGTTGCAAGTTGAGGTTGTGAGGCCAGTATCAAGTATGCAAATGGCTCTGGACATTGTTATTGATTCTTTTAAATAAAATTCATTCAGTCAGCCAGCAAAAAGAGTCTGTCGAATAGTTCTTTCATTCTATAGTCATCACTCCACAGTTTGGGCAATGTCAATAAGATTCAAAACGAGAGAAAAAAACTTGTGCATGTTCTGTTTGCTATAAGAAGGCCAGTGAAACATTATTAGAACAAAGTCACAAAACATAGGGTTATCAGAACAGATTTAAGATTCAAGCTGTCAACTTTCTGCATGTAGCATACAATGCAAGCATACATAAATAAACTTTGCTATCCCTGTAAACAGACAATGACACATTTATAATCATTATTTAAACTCTGTGGTTATAACACTGTAAAGCTTGCAACAAATTACCAGCAACCAAGAAAATGAGAGATAATTACTGCTTCAGAATTCAAAGTTGTACACAATAATCAAGTCTTTCATGAACACGTAATTGTAAGCTTGTAAATTCTAAAAATATCATTATCTACCATGCAAAACACTTAAAAGGATATTAATAGGAAATATGGAAAACTATAGATCAATCTATATATGCTTACGCATCTACACATTAAAAAACAGGACCTATAATTCACCATATATTGAAATTCAAAAGGCAAATCATCCTGAACTGTTTATATAAATTTGGAGGGACATTAAATTCTAATATTTTATACCAAAAAAAAAAAAAAACTATGATTAACAAGATGGTTAAGAAATTTACTAAGTTGTTTTCAAACTCTGGACCTCCAGGAACAACCAAAATCTCCTCTTTATCCAAAATGGAAAAATTTTCCTGAAACAAACAAACTATACTACATTAGCTAAAATGTTATCAAATAATCATAGAAGCATATTGTATCTGCATTGCATGTTGAATAGATTTTCGCTATACCAAAAATACAATCGGCTCTGGTGTTTCAAATTGGATTACTTCAACCCTGTGTGCATTCTTGTCACCAGCAGCAGTCTCAGTATCCTTCTGCAGTGACATTAATTAAATTTTTGAGGGAATCCAAAGAGACAAAAATAGGCATGAATTAAACTTAGTATAACAACGCATCTGTCATGGTTTTGGAGATCCAACCTCCAAAGTGTCTGACCCAAAAGCTCTCTGACTTTCGTCTTCTTTCTCTTTAAAAAGAGTATCAGATCCTTCCTGCAAGTCAAACAAACCAGTTGCAGTTTAATCGGAAACTATAAAAGATAAAAGCCCTGGAATTACCAACATCCTTTCAATCTAATTCCACAACTTCATGAACATAGGCTGGAATAAAAAATGATTGCTTCATCCACTTTGCTTTTTCTTTTTAGTGGTAAATCTCATTCATCTTCCTGATGTTTGACGTAATTACGAAGAAAATCTTTTGGCTTCAAAGATTGACAAAGACCTCTTCTGAAAGGTTTTTAATAAATTTGATGAAATTTCATCAGATTTTTTAACCATTTTATAGGATTTTATGACCATTTCTAATTTTCAAGAAACTTTCTACCTGATTTGAAACCTCGTTTCATCTATGTTTTAGCCAAACCTCAAAATATGTTAAAATCATTCTCTGAAATCTGAGATGATTTCTACACACTTGCAAATCTCTTTGCACCAGCTTGCCAGTATCGCGGATATTAAGTTAAGTCAACACAATTTAAAGTCCTGTGACTATACTGTAACTGAAGTACAAAAAAAAAACAGTATATTTACTTGTGCTCCTCAAAGCACGCTTCAATTTTAAAACAATAAGCCTTTGAAATGCGCAAGAAGCAGCTCCTCTTTTTAATATGGCAACAAGCCAATAACATTACTTCATATACTTTTCAGTAAAGAAAAACTTCACTGTAACTGAACCTTTCGACAAGAAATGGCCAAAGAACCTAGAATCTCATACCTCTTCTTTATGGTTTTGAAGAAACAAACTTAAATAAAATGAAAAATAGGTCTGGACTTTTATGATTCCATTGTTTTTTGTTCTTATAAAATACATAGCCTAAACTGCCAGTTGATCTTCCGTCTTAAATTACGATATTCTCGTCATATAAATAACTTAAAAAACGCTAAATTATGATAAAATAGAACGTAAATTCGGTTCAAAGAACAATTTATCAACCAGATTCTGTATCATAATCACAAAACTTCATTGAACTCAAAATTAAAATTAAAATCGCCGTTTCACCTCATCGTCGCAGCCTTTTCGAGACCTCGAACATAGAGACTCAAACTCACGACAATCAACATCAATAATTTGAGGAATTACTTCAGAGAAGAACTTGGAGAGAGCGGAGTGGATCGGCAAATGCTCGATCTCAAGAGAGATGTCAAAGACGGAATCGAAGCGGAGAAGTTCGTCCTTGCAGGTGAGTAGACGCGGAGGAGAGAGAGAAGGAACTGGAAGGTTGAGGAATTTTAAGTTTGCGATCGGAGAAGAAGAGGAGGTGAAGTAATCCGTGTTGAGAAAGCGAGTTCGCATTTCAGCTCCCAAGTCCACAACGGCAATTGATTTAGAAAATTAAAATTAAAATTTTGGCGCTCTTGTTTGGGTTGGTTTATATATACGTGGGACAGTGGGACGGTTGTATTTGCTAATTGGCACGGCAGGTGGGCATAAACACCCATAATCATTCCAGATTCTTTTTTTTTATTTTTTTTAATGACCTGGATATCCAAACCAGTTTGTGCGTATTTCAACTAATCTCTCAGGATTCTTAAACTATCGACTGGGTAAGAGCTTCAGTAACCACCTCAATTAGGGGTTGTGGGGACTCAAATTCAGGATACTAAGTAAACTTAGATCATTATTTACTCTTTTCTCACCATACCATCTTGTGGTGGATTAGAATCATTACCGTTGTTTTCTTTTCTTTTTGTTATGCTTAAAATAAGGGTTGACCTATGCTGATATCATTAAGCACCAATCAGAATTCGAGAAATTTTTCCACCGTCCAGAACATGCCACGTTTCCAAAGGCAAAAGAGATATAGTTGTCAACAACCCAGTCGACTCAAGAATTTGTCTATGAATGAATTTAGTTCTCACACCTGTCCAAGTCTCATTTAATTTAAGGATATTCTTTGAGTTCTCAACGAATAAGAAGGCAGGAAAGATATTTACGGCATCAAGCCACTTGCAAAAATGTAATCATTACCTTGAGCATAACGGAAATAGACAACTCTCTCTCACAAAATCGAGATCAAACACTATTGAATTTAACAAGAAAAATAGCAAAGACACACTACTAGAAAGAAACTGGTTTGACATTCTCTAAGAACACCTAGAACACCAAGAACTTGTAATAATACCAAATCACAGTTCGTGATCTCTTGTAATTCTGTCTAACGACCAAGAGCAAATTTATATAAATTAAAGAACACATTGGATGTCGGATTTGCTTTAAACAACTGAACTACTATAAAAATCTTACGTCTGCTTTATATTTATGTCTTTGCATTCTACCATGCAATTAGTAGCATGCAAAGACGAAAATAAAATAGCAAAAACACTCTTGAATTTAACAAAGAAAATAGCAAAGACATACTAGAAAGAGACTGACTTGACATGCTCTAAGAACACTTAGAACACCAAACACTTGTAATACCAGATCATAGTTCGTGACCTTTTGTAAACTTGTCTAACGACCAGGAGCAAATATAATAAAAGAATACATTAGATGTAGGATTCGCTTTAGGCATCTGAACCACTATAAAAATCTTATTGTTTGCTTTATATTTACGTCTTTGCATGCTACAGTGCAAACAGTACCTCACCCACAAAGTATAATTTGCTCATATGTAATTTCATAGCACTGTACACGTGCGAAGTAGTTGATGTCAAAATCAATCATCAAATTTTTAATATATTGTTAAATATTAATGAATTGATATTATAAATGAGGTACAAGTACAAGTGAAATGAACCAAGTGTTTTTTGAACTTTTTATGATATCCATTTAAGGGCAATCATATATTTTCTTGAACATTTTATAATCTACTTTTTGACATGATTGATCGTTACAAATATATTCAGGGTGTGTTTATTTGGGGGTTATATGGGATTACTAAGGTAATGTCATCTTATATTATTTGATTACCATTTTTGGTTGTCAAGTAATATAAGATTCCGATAATCTTCCAATACCAATAGTAGTTATTGTTGGTAATGGTAGAGGCAATCTAATAGTTTCTATTTTCTTAGGTATTTTAAGAAGATTTGGTTATCTTATTTTTGTTACAATTTTATCCCTTATTAATAAAATTTTAGGACATTAATACCCTTGTTTTACAAACAATTTACAAAAACACCAATTAACTATTTTATCCTTATATACAAAGTTTTTAGGACATAAATACCCCTGAATTATACAAATTTACCCAAGTGTGGTGGCTGGATCTAGCCACCACCGCGGCGATGATGGAATAGTGCATGACCGGCCATATCTGGTCGACCAGGCGCTGATAAGGCATTTTATGGCCTGAAACAGCTAGATCTGGCCATTTCACAGCTAGATCTGTGGCCATGAAAGGCCAGATATTTGGCCATGAAACAACGGCCGTTTCACAACCAGATTTGTGGCCGTGAAAGGCTAAATCTTTAGTTATGAAACGGTCGTTGTTTCACTACCAGATCTACACTTTTGCTGCTGTCGATGGTGGTGGCAAGCAGTCGGCAGTAGCTTGGGGTGGGTGAGGGTGTTTTTGTTAAGTTTTAAATTTTTTTTGTTGCTGAGGTGTTTTAACTAAATTTGAAATGTTAGGGGATAAAAAAAACTATTAAAAAAAAATAATAAAAATTATATTATATTAATATTTAAAAATGATGGCAATTTAGTAAATTATATAACATACCGACTAATTTATTTATCTCAATCAAACATATTAATATAACATACCCACTAATTTATTCCAACCAACCAAACACATTTCTCCAAACATTCACAATAATCTTTAAGGTAATCTATATTTCCATTAATAAAATATTCTCATTAATATAATATTCCCTTAATCAATCATACCTTCAATGAAAAATGATAAGTCGCTTTTGTTGTGATGACAATAGAAATATAGAATATTTATCAAAATTATATAGCGCGTTTGTCTAAACTACGTGGTTAGACATGGAGCGTAAAATAAATTCAAATAAGTAGATAATGTTAGAAAAATAATTTGTAATCTATTTAAAAAAAAAAAATACTTGGGTTAAGATTAAAATAAAATTCTATTGGCATTGGATTTAGGAAAATTGATTTAATCAAGAAAATAAATTATTAAGACTTATTAAAGCTAATGCAACTATAACCGAATAGTTTGATAGTAAAAGAATAAAAAAATATTTTATGAGTTTTGAATTTGAATCTCTCTAAGTATTAATAGAGGTGATCACATAGACTCTTAACTAACCGATAATTCTAAAATCCAAAAGATTTGTTGCGGTGTCATTACGTATTTACTTAATGATATTTATTCATGAGAGGTAATCCCTGTGAATAGCCATTTGGCCCATATCCAATATCCAATATCCAATCTCCAAACTCACAATCCCATATGCCTAGCTTAGATGTTTAACAGATAATGGACCTGAAATTGACCGACTGCGTGATCTGTAAGAGTACCAAAACACAAGGATTTGTCCTAAGCATTCAACTGGAACACGCATGCATATTGATGCACTTGACCTCTAATTAGCGATGTCGACGGATGTGATTTGATTAATACCCATGGCTACAGTGAGTCTGTCGGTACCGACACCTAATCCCAATGGGGCCTTCTTATTTTAAACAGTATTAGTTAACTCATGGCAATCTACGTAAGGGCAGTTTATACTTTATTGATCATATTGATAAGATCATTCAATATATGAGCCACTTTACGCAGGTTTAAGGGCACGTATACAAACAGACACGTAATACGTGGCACAAGATGGAGAGTTGTCGGTAGATCGAACGTACGAAACGTGTCAGGGTTCTACACAGTGAATCAATGCAGAGGTGGCAAAAACGGTGCGCTGTGATGCTCCCTATAAATATTGGGTTCTTGTCTTTCTCCTTTTTCACGTCAGAACACTCTCAATTTCTAATTGTAACTACAAATTTTATTAAGTTCGCTTCTCTGTCAGTCACTGTTTCAATGGAATCCCAAATGACACATGCTCATGGTCAAGGCAAAACTCAAGAGCACGAACCCCACACGGTTAGGCATCACACCAGTAGCGGTAAGTTTGATAAGAAATTAACTTGTGGGAAGAAGTTTAATTATGTCATATTATGTTTTTGCTGATGGTGGGTTTATTTGTTTCAGTGGCAGAAGGTGAAGATGAGCAGCACCACGAGAAGAAGTCGGTTCTGACGAAGGTGAAGGCAAAGGCAAGGAAGATAAAAGACTCACTCACAAAACATGGTCATGGTCAAAACCATGACCAAGACCAAGACCAAGACCAAGACCATATCCCTGATGTTCATGATCTCGATGAGGAAGACGATGATGAGGAAGAAATGGCTGAAGACCCTGAAGTTCATGGTGCACCAAGTATGTTAATTAATAACTTATTAGTTTCTTTTTCTGTATATATTTATATCCTTCTTTGGGTAACAAGCTTATAATATATGTTGCTCTGTACATATCCTTAGACTAAGGAAAATTGAACATGAATAATTCCTTTTACTGGTAAAGTTAATTGAAAAACCAGGCGTTACATATGTTAATTTTTCTGCATATAGGCGTATTTAGTTGTTTGAAAGTAAATATATTTTGTAAAATGTATAAAGGGCGAATTGTTTGGTAACCGACTGTAAAATACACCAGTGAAACAATACAAGACTACACTGTGAATTAATTTCAAAAAAGAATGTGATCAGGACTAAATATCATTCATCTCTTGCTTAAATTTTGGTCTTTTCATATTGTGGAAGGTTTGGGTGGTTATTGAGCACGTAATATCACAATATAAGCATGTTAAGTAGTTATTAATTTAGAGTCTAATTTCACTAATACGGTAATATTGTCTTAGGGATTTTTTAGTTATTATTGAGACTTTGTAATGAATTAATTTTCACAGTATATGAGGCTACAGCCATTAAGACCACTGGGCTAGTGGACTCTGGAGTCAATTCTGGAAGGTCAAAGGTCACGGAGGTTGATACTCGGTTACCCAACGTGAACCCTGACGAAGGGATTGATGTTAAAAACGTTGATCAGGGTTTGAAAACAGCCGTGGGTGAAATTCCTAGCGCACCACAAAATACACCTGCATCTCATACTGCTCCAGGAATTCATCACCCCAGAGACAATGACCCAACTAGAACCTTAGTCCACGGTGAAGAGGAACGTTCTGGGCAACCGAAAGTCAACTTGCAAAGACCAGAACGCTGGGAGGAGGATCTCGCTGTCCCAAAGGACACACCTGGTTCTTATGTTCCTGTGAATTATCAGGCCAAAGTCGGTGACCATACTGGCAAAGGTAAGTTTAATAATGGTACAATGCTCCTCCAGATTCTACTTCTCTAGTTTTTAGTATTGAAACTCAACTGATTGAATGGAGCGACATATTTTCTTGCAGGTGGTGAAGCAGCAGGAGTAAACCCAGATCTTCTTTCTTTTGACAAAATGAAAATCTATGACGAACCAAAACCAAATTCAGAAGAAAAACAGAGCTTACCTACTGGAACTGAAGATTTTTTTACCAGTGTGCCCACTGGAAGCCATGACCAGTTCTCGCCAGAATTAACCCCCCCGGAACGTAGGAGCACAGAAAAATACCCACAAGAGAACATAGTTGACAGGCCCTCGAACGAGCGTGATGAGTTCTCGCCAGTTTTAACTCCCCCACAACGTACGAGCACAGAAGACAACCCGGAAGGGGAGGTAGTTGACAGGCCTTCCAACGAGCGTGACCAGTTCTCACCAGGATTAACTCCCCCACAACGTATGAGCACAGAAGACAACCCGCAAGAGAACGTAGTTGACAGGCCTTCGAACCAGGGTAGCTACATTCAGAAAATTTCATCTGCCACCTCTGCAATCACAGATAGAGCAGTATCCGCTAAGAATGTTGTAGCTTCCAAGCTTGGATATGGCGAGAAAGACAACACAGGAGGACATGAAGTGCGTGAAGGGGATAAAAATTCCATGTCAGGATCAGCAGTAGATTATGGAAAGAAAATGGCTGCTACTGTGACAGAGAAGCCGACTCCAGTTTATGAGAAGGTTGCAGGAGCAGGAAGTACAAAAAGGTCAAAAATGCAGGGTGCTACCACTGGTACTGGTACTGGTACTGGTACTGGCAGTACCCAGGAACGTGGGGTTGATGGGCAAGACAAAGGAGTGTCGGTGAAGGACTACATTGCAGAGAAATTGAGGCCCGGAGAAGAAGACAAGGCTCTATCAGAGGTGATATCTGAGACTTTGCATAAGAAGAAAGTGGATCAAGAGAAACCTGCAGCAACCTCTAGGCCTGTGAGTGAGGTGATTTCAGATGCTTTGCACAAGCGAAATGAAGAACCTGATGAAACAGATAGGCCTATGGGAAAAGTGACCGAATCCGAGGAGGTGGCCAGGAGGCTGGACACTCATAATAAAGATTCTTCCAAAGAGAAGGACATGAGTTCCAGCTTTATTAGTAATGATAGTAGTACTTCTGGCAATGGTGTAGTTGATAAGATCAAAGGAGCAGTTGGTTCATGGTTTGGGAAAGGGGGTGAGTCCCAGGGATCTCAGCAGTCACTTGGTTCCTCATTCGGTAAGTATCAATGACTTGATAATTTGTGAATTATAAAGTTTGCCTGCTAACTGTTGTTTGGGATTCATTTGTGTTATTTCCTTGTTTGGCTGGTCAGATTCTGCTAATGATGGGGCAAGGCAGGAAACCGGCATTACTGAGGAGAGAAGACCTCAGGAGTCTGGCAATTGATACAATATGATTTGTGTTTTCAATTAAGTGTGGTTTTCTTCGGTGTTTGTATTACTCTTTATGTACCCATAAATGTGTCAGATTGTAGATTGGGTTATACCTCTTTATTACAGTTTTGTGTGTTTATAAGATGGATGAATCTTCAGTGATGCGTGAGGGATATATCTGTAAGGCAATGGTTGTTTGCATTGCCCTTTGCCAGCAATAGCATGAAACTATCCTAATAATTTTCTTTTCGAAACAAGTTTTGAGCTGCTTTCTCAGGAATTTTGGTGGTCTAATTTGCATCAAAACTGTATTTGGACCTGAAGTTTTGGCCCTCTGCTTCACTAGATGGATCTCATTCATAACATTAAAAGCCCTCTGCTTCACTAGAAGGATGTTATTCAATACATTAAAAGCTGCAACAAAAATTCGACTAGTAATGGACTAGACCGGCCACAAAAAATGTGTACTCTGAAAACCAACAGAAGTTCCTCCATAAGTGAAAAGCCTTAATATTTTCATTTTAATCTTGCTGGACTGAAAAGATACCGCGTACAATAACCCTGACCTGATGAGTGAAAGATTGATTGAGAAGTTAAAAAGATCAAAGGGTCTTCAAATTATAGCAAGCAAAAGGGTGGTCACCAATTACCATACTAAAAAGATTTTTAGTTAAAAGTAGAACAAAATAGACAAGAAAAATATATCGTGTTTTTGTTTACATTAGTCTACAATCAGATAAAAATTACATAAAATTTATGTAAAATAGCTACTCAATCATTTTTTTTTGCCTAATTATACACTATTATATAATTTAGTTGTACACTTATTTATATTTAGTTGTAAGAATATTATTAGTAGAAAGATAAGCGCTTAGAAAGTGGACAGAATCAAAATATGAAATGAATAGAAAGTTGGGTAAAATCAGAGGACAATATTTTCCTAATGAAATGTAATATTAGAATTTTTTTCTTGTTTCAGAGCTAAGAGTATAAGCTAAAGCATAATATTTGGTGGATATGAATGTAAATTTTCCCCTAATTTTCCTTCCTTGTTTTTTTTCTGATTTTTCCAACTTTCAACCCCTTTGAATTTTTTTTTTTTTTTTTTTTTTTGTTTAAAGGCTAATCTTTATAACTATCTCTGGGTAGCTAGTAGTTTATAATGCTTTTGAGTGTATTACTCAAAGGTCTAATTTAACTCTCTCATCGATTGTTAGGGATAGTCATGGAGTTTTTATCTGGTTAATAGTTTCAGGGTCGTAAGGGATTAATTAAAGTGTACGCAAACTGCCTAGACAGTCGGACACCATCAGGTCATTAAAAAGAAAAAATAGGGCTAAAATCGGCTGATGTGAAATAGTAGGTTACTCTTAGCTAAATGACAAATTTGTTTATTATAAGAAAAATATATATTACTATAATTTTGTAAGAAAGACCAGAACATATTAACATCCTTTTTATTATATTTATTTTTTTGTTAATTTTGTTGATTTAATTATTGAAAATATTAAATAATTTTAATATGAATAAATTATGTAAAACGGTAACCAAATAAAAAACCTTGAAAAATAACATTTAGTCCCTGAGCTTTGGTATAAGCACACTTTGTCTTGTAGAATCAAAATGGTGTATACTGACTTTTGTCCCTGACTCCCTGAGGTTTGCCTATGTTACTTTTTTAAACCTCAGGGATGACATTGTCATTATCGAACCTAAATCCCATAACCTCTTGTTCACCAGGAAAACATAAAATCCGCAATTAGCTAACTCTTAAGCAATTTGCACAGCGTTTATTACGTTTCGTTCTAGGATTGGTTGGGCATATTAATGTTCTGTGACAAGAAACACCAGATTGCTCTCTCTTTGTTTCCCTTAGCTTTCTCATTGTACCTCAGTTCGTCTCCCCACCACTTCGGTGGCTTACTTACACTATGAAAGCCTCGACTGGTCGGGTCAAGTTCTAATAGAGCTCTCTACAAGCAGCTTAAAACCAGGTTAGTCCTCGCTCTGTCAATAATCTCTGTTCAATGGGCGTTTTTCTCTTCCATTAGAGCCGTATTACGCACTTGGGTATTTTCAGTTTAATGGCTGGGTGCTCAACTTTCCTTCAGTCCTATTTGTTCAAAAATTTCATCCTGTTACTGAGTTTCTTGGATTTGTTTTGTATTGTAACGTTGCGGCGATAATGGGATATCTCCAGCGTCTTAACAATGAACTCTGTGGCTTTATTTGGTGCAAGAATAGTTAATAAATTTACATGTTTTCTTGTTATTTCGCGTAAGTTTTGCGACCATAGTGGTCATGTTGGTGAAGTCCATGATGGGCTTAATTGCATTGAGGAGAGTTTGACCAAAGAGTGGGAAAGTTCTGATTTTGATTCTGCTACAGTTGAAAAACCCGGTTTTTACGATCATGAGTGCTCGGAGGGGCATTTCTCGGTGAGGAGAATTTTTGTTGATAATGTTAAGTTTGATGCTGGAAGAATACTTGAAATTTTACAGCGTGATGGTCCTGGTTTTGATGCAAAATTGGCTCTCAGCGAGTCAGGAATTAGGGTTTCAGGGATACTTGTCAGGGAAGTTCTTTTGGGAATTTTGAGAAACGTAGATTATGCAAACAAGACCAGGTGTGCAAAATTGGGTTACAAGTTTTTTGTATGGTCGGGTCAGCAGGAAAATTTTAGGCACACAGCAAACACTTATCATTTGATAATGAAGATATTTGCAGAATGTGAGGAGTTTAAGGCAATGTGGAGGCTGGTTGATGAGATGATTGAGAACGGGTTCCCAACTACAGCACGGACATTTAACATATTGATTTGTACTTGTGGTGAGGCGGGTTTAGCTAGGAAAGTTGTGGAGAGGTTTATTAAATCGAAGACATTTAATTATAGGCCATTTAAACACTCTTATAATGCAGTTCTATATTCACTTCTTGCTATAAAGCAGTATAGGTTGATAGAGTGGGTGTATCAGCAGATGTCTGATGAGGGTCATCCCCCGGATATTCTAACTTATAACATTATTATGTGTGCAAAATATAGGTTAGGGAAGTTGGAGCAATTTCACAGGTTACTTGATGAAATGGGTAGAAGTGGGTTTTCCCCTGATCTTCATACATATAACATCCTTCTCCATGTGCTTGGCAAAGGAGATAAACCACTTGCAGCACTTAATCTCTTAAATCACATGAAAGAAGTGGGTTTTGATCCACGTGTTCTTCATTTCACCACATTGATGGATGGCCTGAGCCGAGCTGGAAATTTAGAGGCATGCCAGTATTTTTTTGATGAGATGATCAATAGAGGGTGCATGCCTGATGTGGTTTGTTACACCGTTATGATAACAAGTTACATAGTTGCCGAGGAGTTTGAGAAGGCTCAGGGACTGTTTGATGAGATGATCGTCAAGGGACAGCTTCCAAACGTATTTACATACAATATCATGATTCGTGGTTTCTGCATGGCAGGGAAGTTTGACAAGGCATGTTCAATGCTGAAAGAAATGGAATCCAGAGGTTGTAATCCAAATTTCCTTGTGTATAATACCCTAGTCAGTTATTTGCGGAATGCAGGAAAGTTGTCTGAAGCACATGAAGTGATTCGACACATGGTTGAAAAGGGGAAATATGCACATCTAGTGTCAAAATTCAGAAGATATAGAAGATGCTAGCACAGAATTGTGCAATTCGGAATAATTCAGTTGTAACATTACTGGGAACATGCTTGTCAATTCAGCCCTCTTGACAGCATGTGCCTGCTGCCTGTAATAGTGTCAAGGAAATGGTAAACATTCACATCTGTTCTCCTTTTTAAATTTTTTCAAGCAAAATTTTGAGATATAATAGAAAGCTACACTTGTGTCTTTCATTCTTCCCAACTTGCTTGATGGGTTTATTTGTGCGTTTGTCAGTATTAAAGTAATCAGATTATCAAAATGTCCCTGGCACTCAGTGTTTATCATGATGATGCAGCATAATTTGTTATGTACCAAATATAATTTTAATTACCAGAATTTCCAATGAGAGATCAAGATGGAATTTTCCTCAAAGTTCTTCCTGCTAGAGTTTGAAATCTGACCTTCATGTGAATATATTGGTAAATTTTCTTTAAGGACAGGAGCAGTTATTTGACCATGGAGTTGACCACAAATCCTCGATGGGAATCAATATAGAGAAATTAAATTGGGAGAAGAAGGAAGTTTAACAGAAGTTGGAAAGAGTCAAATTGGCTTGCATTTTTTATGTTGAAGCATGTAAAGAGCTCATGCAGATCATATTTTCTTTATTCGTTGAAACTGTAGGCAGGGTTCTCTGTTTATGATTGATAACTTTATACTTACAAACTAAACTTAGCAAAAGGGCTCTCAGTTCAAGAAAAATAATACATTCATGCTTTCCTTTGAAAACCTCTTTATTAATTCTTTGTTTTATGTGCTTAATTAATAGCCTGGTCGCCAAATCGATTTCAACTCCTATATTACTCTTAGTTTTTGACATAGTGAAATTTAAAAGAACTAATTGTGCAATAGACTAATTTTAGTCAGTATAAGATACTATATATCTTTCTGTTTTTCACTCCAGTCTCCATATACTCAGTGCAATCCTTGCGATGTTTGGTGCTCATTCTTTGTTTATAGAAAACGTCTAATATACATATACTACAACAGAATGTCTTGGTTTAATGATGTCGTTTATTTACTTATATACCCATTCCTATTCCGTATTTTTGCTTCCCTCTTCTCTGCTCATTTTAGGCTTGTTGATAGAGGTGTTAGCGTGTTCCAATCAACCCACCTTTTTCACATGTTATAGGTTATATCTGGAAAATTATCCGTTACTAAGCTTCATTGTTTGACCTAGATTCTTGTTTTGGTTTAAATTTTGAAGTTTCCTTTAATGAATGTCACTACGTCGTTGATATGAGATCTTTATGGCTCTGATCAGGTCCTAACCATTTCATGAGACTTCCAAGAATTGAGAGTTTATAAGTCATAAAGTTCTGCAGAGTTTTGAGTGGAGGATGGGAGAGATAAAGTTGAGGTGGTTGTGGCATAGATACAATGAAGGAAGACAACTGAGAACAGAGGTGTTGATAGAAGTTGGGAATAATGGTCAATGGATGGTGTTTTGGCTGGCTGCAAGGAGCTTGTGAATGATAACTGTATAAAATATTCAGAGCATTATGGCTAATAAGGTTAGACAGTGGAGGCAGTTAGGATGGTAAAGCAATTGAGAGGTGCATGGGCATGGTGCTATATCTCCAGCTGCTTGTGATGCTAATGGAGGTGGCGGCAGCAATGCCGTATATGGTAGAAACTGCGATGATTGATGTTTTGATGAAGGCATTTAGACAGAATTGTCAAATATGACGTGGACAGTATCCCGTAGCAGCCAGGTTATTGCAATGTTGCCAAGGGTGGTAGTAGGTATCTTCATTGTTGTGGACCTTGTGATTCTGCTGTTGAAAGCACCGGCAATGACAGCAACATGATGGAGACCTATTTGGAAATAGAGTAATTCTCTTGTTCTCTAGAGTCGTTCTACGGGTATCTGATCTTTGTTTCTCACTCGATTTGCTGTACGCCCATATGGTCATAAATCTAGAATCAAGGCTGCTATTGACAAAAGGAGATCAAAGTTCTACCGTCTTTTTGGTCAAATTTCTTACTCTAGAATGAAGCCTGCTATTGACATTAAGTCATTAATGCACTTGTTACAGTCAAAAGTTGTAATTTTTTAGTACAACAGGGTATTGGTAGTTTGTTGATTGTTGGAAGAGATGGAACAGGCTGAATAAGAAACTTTATGAGAATAGATCCAATAGCTAATGTTAGAGATGATGATTTGTTCTCGGAACCCTAATCCAATGCTCTTCAGGTTTAGTGTGAAAAGAGGAGTGATGATAATTGATTGATGACCTGTAATCTGTTACTACCATTATCATTCCAGCTAAGGAGTTAGACTGTTTGATATTCTTCTGTCCAAAGAATGGCGTCTTATCAACCATCATATGACATGATTTCAAGCTGCCTTACAAGACAAGCCTTACACTCCAAGACAACATAAATCTTCTGATTCTTCAACAGATAATAAAGACAACATAAATCTTCTGATTCTTCAACAGATAATAAAGAACTCAAATAATGCTTCTGCTACATAAACATGCAGCTACATGCCAATACACAGCATGCCATCCTCGCACGCCCACCGACTCTCGGACTTTAGCCTTATACCGTTCTCAAAATTCTTCATTCCATAAATCCCATCCATGCTTTGATGGTCAAACTCAAAATCCATGGCTACACATTTGATTGCGACGAGGCGGCTGATGAATGCCGTCAAAGTTTCAATTTGAAACAAGGATAATATATTTTATGGGCACTGATTAGATATATTTCTTATATAAGGGACCTGTAATTTGTGAATGTTGTTATCTAGTCTTCATAAAAACGTAACCCCATTCACACTGGATGGCTAAATCACTCATCACTTTACGTTGTTTATTCAGTATTATCAATTCGCCAATTTGAACTCGTAAAGTTTGCAGTTCTTGACCCCATGTGATTGTCTGGCGGTGACTTCTCTCTTCCTTTTCTTAAGTTTTAGGTTCAAATTTTGAGATCATCTATCACAATAATTATTAGTCTTTTAGGTTTGTGAGGTATTTAATAGATCACAGAGATTAGTTGAAGGGTTTTTTAAACCTTAAGGCCGTCTACCATAAGGGGGCGTTTGGTCCAGGAATGTTAGATTACTGAGAATATTAGATTACTAGGAATGTTGGATTACTAGAAAGATAAATTACCTTAGAAGATTACTAGGAATCTTTAAAAAAATGTGTTTGGTTAGTTGGTGGGTATGTTATATTAATATGTTTGGTTATATTTAAATGACTAAATTGTCCCCCTTTTAAATATTAATATAAGATTATTTTTGTTATTAATTTTTGAACAATTTCTTTTAACCCATAATATTTCAGATTTAGCTAAAACACCCCCGCTTATATAAAACTTTAATTTATGATGAAATCACCCCCATCTCCTGCCACCTCCTGCCGACACCGCAAACCACCGCCGGAAATCTACGAAAGTACCGTGACGAAGAGACTCCGATATGGTTGTTTCTGGCCATTTTGATGGTCAAAAACTGCCATATCAGGCTAGATTTGGTCGAAAATGGCCAGATCTATTTTGGCCAGATCGATGGATCTGGCCATTATCGGCCAAATCTATTTCGGCCAGAATAGATCTGGCTGTTAACGGCCAGAATATATCTGGTCGTTAACGGCCAGTTCCATCAATCTGGCCGGATATGGCCGTTTTCGGCCATCAATTTGGTCAGAAACGACCATATCGAAGCCTCCCGGAGTCTCCCACCGAATCTCGTTCTTTTTTGGGGACTCCGGTGATTTTCCGGCGGCGGCCCATGGTGGTTGGCTCGCCGTCGACGATGGTGGCTGGGTGGCAGTAGTGGTCTGTAAATTATTTTAAATATAAAGGCATTATTGTCCAATATTTTAATTAAACAAGGGTAAAATTGAAATAGGATATTAATGTAAATTTGTTTTAAAGTAGGGGTATTATTGTCCAAAAATTTTATTAATAAGTGATAAAATTGTAACAAAAAATGATAACCTTGGTAATCTTAGAATATCTAAGAAAATGGAGGTAATCAGATTACCTCCCATATTATCAATAGTAACTACTATTGGTATTTGAAGATTACCGGTATCTTATATTACTTGACAACCAAACATGATAATCAAATAATATAAGATGACATTACCCCAGTAATCCCACATAACCCCCAACCAAACGCCCTATAATAATATTATAACTTACTTAGTCATTTAAACTCGTAGAGTATTCAATTAAATCCAAATATTAGTTAAAGTGTATACAAATTGACTTCAAATGAATATATATGTGTCTTTATCAAACATCTTAATTTAACTTTCTTTAACTTTCAAATGAATACGTAACTGCGTTTTAAGTGCTTACATTTACTCGTAAAATTCTATTGTTTTGTATTTAATTTTGTAACCATAAATTATTGATAGATGTAGATGTTTTGAAGAATGATGCAATTCGTGACACTTTTGTATCATTCAAATGGTATATCTGGTGAAGCAGAATCTGTGGGCGTGCTAACAGTTTATTGTTTTTTTCTGCTTAATTAGACTAACATGACTATGTCCTCTAAGCTGTAAAGGAATAATAAGAGAACCAAGATGAGGAAACTCGTGGAAACAAAAACTACTTCTTCTTCCTGCGCTTTAATATTAATTGTTTACAACGAGACAAATCTGGCGATTCACGCAAACCATTTTAAATCTAATCACATTAATTGCTAAGCATGAATGAAAATTTTGCTACAATAATTATTATTACAGAGAAAAATTCACATATGGTTTTTCATTTTTTGTCCTCTTTCTTCTCTTCTTTCTTTTCTTCCGGTTTCTTCTCCTCTTTCTTCTCTTCTTTCTTTTCTTCTGGTTTCTTCTCCTCTTTGGCTGGCCCAACTGAGATGATGTCCACTTTTCCTACTTTCTTCAACCTCTTCGCTACTGCCACTGTATCCATCTGCCCTATCACTGTTAGCTTCTGGTCTTTTAAATCAGCCGCAATTGAATCAACTCCTGAAAGTCATAACTCTCTCTTCTATAAGTACAACTTCCAATAAATATATATTATAATTTCAAAGGTGAAAAAAATAATTGACTACTCCAGAATATCCGATCAGCTCAAATATATTTAAAAGAAGAAAGAAGAAAAACCCTCATGTATCAAATGTTCAAATCAAAAATTTTATTTTTATTTTTTATATTTAACAAGACGTCGATGATTTTGGTTGAAGAATGTTAACAGTAGAGGAAGATAAATATACCAAAGATATCAGCAGCAGCTTCAATGGCTTTCTGCTTGGTCTTATCGTCAGTCATGGTCAAAACCTTCAACACCACCTTCTGCTTTCACATATTCACAAAGAAAGAAACAAAATTTAAGACAATTTCTATGTTGTTGAAACTATAAAAACTATTTCAAACAGTTGGAATGAGTGAGTAAGAGTACCTGAGCCATGGCAGGAAGAGGATGATGATATCAGAAATGAAATGAAAAATGAAAATTTAAGAACCATGTGGAGTTTATAAAGAAAAGGGTGAGAGGGTGAGATTTGAGGCTCTTGGTTCAGGTGGGATCGTCAATTTTGTGAATGAATACTTACATCTAACAAGTGGTTCCTTACACACGTCTTCTTGAACACGTGGCACATTTTTGGTAATTTAAAAGACAAAAAGTTGACATGTGAGTTGTTTTCAGCCGCTTGATTAAACATAGAATCCCCTCCCTTTGTTTTTTCTTCTGATTTTGAAAGGTATTAACTAATTTATTTTTATTTTAAGTTTTTACACGTAAACCACTACCGAGTTAGCAAAAGTGTCTAATATGAGATTAATTGTCATTATTTGAAGAGCATCTTTCTGAGAATATTTTCGTTAATTTTAAAATATAAAAAATATAATTTTTATTCAAATATAATAGATTCATTAAATTTAATGAAGATACTCTTTGTTTTTAAAGAAGAGACTTAATGAAAGAGAGAATTAATAAATAAAATACATAGCAATTTGTAGTTTATTAATTAACATTATGATAGAGATTGAAATTTGACTTTTTAAATATAGAGAGTCAAACTCACTCTCTAATTTATATTTTAAAGATAAAAAATCTGTTGGACTCTTATTTTTATGGATAAACTCTTTATTTATTTTTATAATAAAGAGTTTAGATCATATAAAGAACCATTTGAAGATACTCTTAGACACTAATATGGTTGATCATTGTGGAGATTTATTCGATTTTCTATTTAAAAAATTAGTTGAAATACAAACAAACTACTTTAAACATCTTCGATGCGCTTAAACTAACCCCCAAAAAAATAGCCACCACTTTATTTGAGAGATAACTAATTGTAAGTTATCACATCTAAGAGTTATAAGATCAAGTCGTAGACCTAATATCACTGCGAGGGTTTCGGTTTAAGATCTGCTAATTAGCTGTTCTTGATCTTTCATATATATTGGCATAATTTATGAGCAAGTAGGGGGACCGAGCCGAGGCTATCTTTGCTTTTTCACTGCCAATAATCTCTCTTCATCCAAAAGGTAATAATAAGAGTTGAAAAGCTAATAATTAAAGCAATTGAATATCTCCACTCAAAAGGTCAGAAGGACGAAAGATCTGTATTATCTTTAATGCTTCTGACCACAAAAATCTTCAACACGTTATGGTTCCCCAATTTGTCAACAAACAACTCATTGCGCATGGATATTGCCCTGGATTATCATCAATTAGGTTATCGGATACTCAGACGTATGATTCTTGTTGAAGAATGAGTGTGAACCAGAACCAGAACCAGTCCTACCCCATTACTTCATTTCCATTAATATTTAATTAAACAACCACATTTGCTGTCATTGGAAGAAGTATATATATAAACTCACAAATAAACCAAAATTCATAAAATACTAAATATTAATTAATAAACCCATGTATGAATTGAAGATTTTTAACCCCTACAATAAGCAAAACACTCAAAGGTCAGCAATTTCATGGTGAAAATCACATGATAGTGCAGGCATGGGGATTATCATCGCTGAAAAGTGAAGCGACAGTTTCATCAGATGCCACAGCAACTGAGTAAACAGAAGGGGTGTGGAAGAACGTATGTGCACCATTGGCGGTTCCATATGTATCGTAATAATGGTTCACAATGTAGCTTGGATACTTGTAAAATGAAGAAAAATGAGAGTATCCTGGAAATGGCCATGGCTCTGCTGCTTTTCCAGCTCTTTTAATAGCTTTCAGCACCTTCCTTTCCTCCAATCCAAACCCTCTTACTGTAATCTTTTGCATCTCCATTTCTATCTCCACTTCTTCAACTCCTTAAAAAAAAAAAAAAAAAAAAATCACAAACCAAAATAAGTAAGACATGAGGGATAATCCAGACCCTTGTTGGGCCTATACACATACTTCTGTTCTAGGTCCAATTCTGACACACATCAAGCCCATTTTTCAGGCTGTTATTAAATGTGTGGGGGTTCTCGTTTATGGCCTTACTAGAAACAAAACGTGAAAAGGGAAAAAATGAAACAAGTGCTTCTTTAAAGATATAAGACATTAATCTAAGCCGAGGGGTAAAAAAAAAGTTTTCCATTTCAAGCGTTAGAAGTTTAGAATATTGTAATATTATGTACCTTTGAGCTTGAAGAGGGCTTTCTTTAGCTTGGAAGCACAGCCTTCACAATCCAGGTTTGGAACTCTGACCTCGACCATCTGCAAATAATGCACATTGTTAAAATCCCATTTCCAGAATGGATATTTTCTGTGAGTTTTGTATGTGAAGAAAGAGAGAAGAAACTTACAGACATGGTTACTAGTCGTTTGAGTTTAAGCTTTTAACAAATGGAGAGATAGTCGTGGTTGGTTGGTGATGAACCAGTAAAGACAAGAAGTGGTTCTACTTCTATCTATCACTATTTAATGCAATTAATTAAGGCTCCCAGGAGTGAGCAGAGAAGGTTTTGTGATGAAGAATGGGTCAGAAAGGTGGAAGGCTTTTAAGCCCTTGGGTTTTGAAATTCGAAAGCATGAAAGAGTTGTTTACGCGTGGATTAGGAAAGCGTGAGACTTTATGCCCAACCCGATGCGCTCTAACTAACGCACAAATATACTATATATATATCAATATGCTTCTATATATTCATGGCACGCTCTCTCTGTTAAATGATGGGGGACACTGGACACCACCCACAATTCAATGCAAAACATATATAATTTTCCATTAACCCTGTAGGACCTTATGCACTTATGAAGCATCATCAATTCACTCTCATTTTTAATTATGTTTTTCAAGTTGTATATGGTTCTTCGTTAATATAAAATATATGAATGAATTCTCTATATATTTACACATTTACATAAATCCAAAAAAATAAATGAGTCAGCTTTACCATCGAATATTTTAACCAGCTTTCGACAGTAGACAGAATTCTGCAAAGGAATTCTCAGAAAGAAAGAACTGAAATTACTGAGAAAAAGCTCTCTCAGAGTAAACTTAAGCTGTCACTGAAGCTCTCTTCTTTCTGTAAACAAATCTTCTACCTTTGATTTGTTAACACATTGGTGCTCGAATTCCAAACCTTGGAAGTGAAAAAACTTTTTACAGCCATTAAATTATAATATGTAATTATTTGACGGCTGAGATGAATGGGAAAATAGAGATGGTTCTGCAGACAGACAAACACCCTGGACTTGGTTTTACAATGATCGTATATATTCCCATGGAAAGCTGAACAATATTGGAATATTTTAACATAAAGAAGGACAAAAAAACATGGGAGTATCATTCTCAGTTGTCCTTTCAAAATCAGTGAAAGAGAAACATATGTTCACTGTTTGTAAGGCTCGTTTGGAAGCATAATTATGATCATAGTAATGATGTGTTTTTTTTTTTTTTTTTTTTTGTCCGGGTGTCCAAGCCAGCTAGCACGCACCTCAACTAATCTTTCGGGGTCTTGAAGTTGACAGTGGGTAAATCCCCTCAATAGTAACTCTTATTAGCAATCCGGGTAAATCGAACTTAGGATCTCTTGAGTAATACATCCAAGAATCTTAATTAACAGCTGGACCACAGTGGCTTATTTTAAAAACCAGACCGGTCTAATCGGGACCAGTAGCTTCTCGGTCCAGTTCAGGTCTTAGTGACTGGCAAAACGAGTCTGGACCCGCGGGTCGGTCCGTACCCGGGTAAAAAATATAGGATACGGATCAATAAATTAAACCCATTTTTTGTGACCGTACCCGTACCGGTCCAATAAATCACAGGTCATACGGGTGAACCCGCGGCACCCGTATTTGCCCTATTCAGTATCACTGAATCCCTAAGTTTTTAATTTTTATCACGCAGAGTCCAGAGATCACGCTCACGCCTCCCTCTCACGCCTCCCTTTACAGAGTCACAGTCTCACTCTCATCTCAATATCTCATCTCTGATCTCTCAGTTCAGATCGCGGCCGCATCTCATCAGATCACGAATCACGCTCACGCCTCCTCTCACAGTTCACTCTCATCTCATCTCAAATCACAAAACAAAACCACAGAGAGAAAGAAAGCAGGGGCAGCAGAGAAAAAAAGGGTGTGAAGATCATCAGCAGCCTTTCAAACGGCACCAAGAGACAGCAACGATACCCCACCTAGGGTTTCCCTCTCTCTCACTTTGCCTTACACTTTTCTGTGAAACGACACATATCACATCTGTTTCGTTGTTTTGTTTCTGGATCTGGGATTTTGTGTTCGTGAGGTTTTATGTAGGTTTAAATGTTTGTTTTATGATGGACATTTTTATTTGGTGAATAAGGTGTGTTTTAATGCTTAATTGTTTTGAAAGTTTAGCCTTTGTGGGAAATGTTTGTGTTATTGTTTTGATCCGTTTTGTGGCGTTTAACGATTGAAAGAGGAGAAAGGAGATTAATTTGTTGGAGAAATTTTGATGTAATCATGCTTGTTTCTGTGAATTTGAGGATTGTATGTGCGTTTGGTGGTGTTTTTATTTTTATTTTTTGTATTTTGTTTTGGGAAGTACAGGTATAGGTTTCATGTAGGGAAAAAAAGGGCCCACCGCGGGTCCACCTGTACCCGTATAGGGTAGGGCACAGGTCCAAAATATTGGACCCGTATATATCGACGTATAAGGACCCGCACCCGTATGATCCGCACCCGATAACCCGGACCGTACGGCCCACCCACCCGTTTTGCCAGGTCTAGGTCTTAGGGGGTTTTTGTAATATTTATAAATTATAGGGTTAACGAATTTTATAGGGGTGTTTTGGCGATATATCAAAAGTTTAGGGATTAATGTAATTTTTTGGGACATTTTGATAAATAAAAAATTTAGGGACTACTTTAAACTTTTTAGGAGAATTTTGTAATATTTAAAATTAAGAGATTAATATGTAATTTTTAAAAATAAAAATGCGCTGTCATTGGTCCATCAGTTGGATGTTGACTGTGACCCCGGGTAGCAAAACAGGTTACCCTTCGTCAGGGTTTTAAAACAATGCACATGGTTCAGAGTAATGATGTTGTTTAAGGGAATCAATTAATAATTAAAACTTTCAAACGGAGACATCCACAACATTTCTTAATCTAAAAAGAAATAAAATAAAAAAATTTGCCTTTATAATGAACTATCATGTTATTCATTAATAAAAGGCAAATTTAAACTGCTCCCATCACTTGAAATATAAAAATATTAAGACATATAACATTTATTAATCTTTAAAAATAAAATAAAATGAAAAAATAGGCAAAATTAAGTGGGTAGAGAAAAACAGGGAATGGCTCCGTTTGTATTTGTATACTTGTCATACAAGAAGCAAAGTTTATAGATCTTTGTTTCCCTGGCAAATCCCCCGTGTTTTAAGACTTCTTAGTGACAAGACAAATTGTTTTGTATCATTTTTTTTTTTTTTTTTTTTTTTACAAGCATATTCAGAAAAGCTGTAGAAAGAGGGGAAGTTCTGCACTGTAGACAGTGATAAAGAAAGATCAAGATTCAAATACCAACGTCGAGGTTAGTACATTCAATCCTCCATTAATCCTGCAGTAACTCTTTCTCTTCTTTCATATTAGTATTACTTTGATTATTTTCTAGATATACGTTATAGATCTTGGTTTTGGTTTTGACACTAATAGATGAATCTCTTAAAAAAATATAAAATTGTTGAATCCTTATACAATTAAGATTCAAATCTGTTTTTTTTTTTTTTTTTTTTAATGATCATTAATAACAATTAAATCATCTTATAATCATATGAAATGATAATATAGTATCATTTTCAAACAATAATATTATTAGTTGTATTTACCAAACTATGGGAAATGATATTATTTATTAATTTATTTATAACGTTTATGGGTTTGCGGTGCTTAAATGAGTCAAAAACCATTCGATACAACCTAATAATCTATGAACCATTAAAATTCCATGTGCTATCATGTTATATTTGGAAATTCTGTTTTATTTATGGAGAGTGAGATTAAGTAACAATTAATTTACCTTCTGTTTTTATTTAGACTATACTATTATCGAATAATAACAGTTTCACTATATATATTGCCTCCATGAATACAGGGTCCTGATCCCTTTTCCTATCCACAAACCTAGGAGATGTTCTAAATATCATTTTGACCTTTAGATGCATGATCAAGGTCCATATGATGTTGACCTTTAGGTATTAGGCATTCTCTTTTATGTAGGGAAATTATTTCCCACAATCAAATTAAATGAAACTACCTACCATCACCAGTTGCAGTCACCAATGGAGGGAAGGGAACACTCAAGAAACAATGCTCTGTATAATACAAGAGCTTAGAGTTCTATCTTAATTGTTCTATGTTGGGAATGAATTAACAGTTTTTCGTCTGTCAAATGATTAAATTAGACAGTGCCAAATTTTTTAAAATAAAAAAATCAACCACCACAACTCCACTACCCTGGTATGGTGCAAATAATGTGAGAAATGTCAGAAAGATGGCAACCTCATTTATTTTGATCTTTCATGTTTCATTTCATTACATTAGGGCTGAAAAGCTGGAACCCTTTTGTCCTGTAATATTTGTCTATGGTCTTAATAGAAAAACATGGTAGGAGAAAATTATAAATATAAATAAACAGCCGCTCTACACGAGACCGAGACCTAGCCCACCTTTGTTATTAAGTCTTTCGACTCTTTTTCTACATACATACCTAACCTTTTTTTCTCTTCTCTCTCAATTTTCCTTTCTTTTCCCCCTTCCTTTTCTGTTACTTAGAATTAAACTCTTGCTTTTCATTTTCTTCATTTCTGTGTAGATTAACCACTCAAGTATTTACCCTAATTATAAGCCTAAGCCCTAACCCAACTTCATTACTGGAAATAGCATTTTTTAAGTGCACATGGGATCTCATGTCAGGTTTTTTGTTTTTATGCTTGTCTAAAATTCTCTCTCATAAGTAACAAACATTTAGAAATTTGAACCCGAACAGACGTACAGAGTCTGAGCTTTGTAGCTTTCATGGAGCTTCAAGGACCTGCTTGTAATTCTTCACCAGGAAGATAGAGCTCAAATCAACTAAAGCTTCACTCAGCTACCCGTTTCTGGAAACCCACCAACTTTGGCCGCCTTCGGAGATTCGTATGTATGTAGTAGTGAAATGAGAGAGAATCACATCAACATGTACCACGGATCAGGATCAGGGCCTCTTGTTTATTTCGCAGACTCGATCTGGCGCCCATTTATGAAGTCACCTGCAAAATCTTACGGTCTCTTCACCTTCTTCTTCGTCCTCGTCGTCGGCGCGTTGGTTTCCACGCGCTTGCTCGACACCACTGTACGTAAATAATTTTCAATTTTATTTTATTATTGATGTGAATGTGATTTTATTATTTCTCACATACATTCTAGTTTGCTCAAGAAAATTGACAAGTATATTCCTTTGTTATTATTATTAGCTTCTAATTCTATGGTGTATTAGAAACGGAAAACGGTGTCGTGTTGACTTGGGGGTGTTGTGTTTATTGGCACTCGGGTCGGGGCCCTTCGTTTCTTCTAGTGTCAGAGGATTCTAAGGCCTAACATGCGCGGTGTGCCGTGGGTGTCGGTCTACCCAACTACGTATAAAAAAGGCTGCTAATCTAATTGGAACACGTGTACTAAGTTTTTACGTTTTTAGTGACATGCATGTGCACGTAGGACAGACTCTTTGACTTATTTGCACCGCTTGATGGTTGATGATACCATTCATCAATATGTAGAAAACATTGTTTTAGATTCTTCTAGGATTTTACTGCAAATAGTTTCTTTAGAAATAGAACTTGTAAATGTATAAATTTTATTAGAAATCTATTGATTTTTATTTTAATAAATTTAAAAGCTGTGTTTAAAAATATTTATTATAAAGACAAGATATTTAATTAGAGATATTAACCACAACAAAATGCAGTAAGAAATGGTATTAAAAGCAAAACAGTGGTTGTGCTTGTGAGGAGCATTATGAATTTTTAACTGTTTTTGGATCGTCGAGTAGTTGAATAGCGACTTTTGGAGTATTATCCAAGATTTTTTAAGTTTGATTTATCTTAGTTGTTAATAGGGGTGATGACTAGAGGTTTATCTGATCGTTAATTTTAGGGTTTCTATGATTAGTTGAAGTTTGTATAACTTAGAAAAAAAAAAAAAAAAATGTGAATTTATGAAGATTTTTTTTGTAAGTTAATTGATGTTGTGGTGTGTGTCGTGTTGTAGACTATTGCTGCCAGCGGCTTTGCTCAGAGGAGAAGTAGCACCAAAACATACGTATATCCCCGAAAGCCAGAGTACAAGTTAAAATTTCCACTCAACTGCACCGCTCTAAACCTCACTAAAACCTGTCCCAGAAACTACCCCACAACTTTTAATCCATCTGAAGATCCTGACCCTTCATCACCTCCCATGTGTCCCCAATACTTCCGTTGGATCCATGAAGATCTCCGACCATGGGCCCACACCGGGATCACTCTAGACATGGTTGAAAGAGCCCGACCAACCGCAAACTTCCGATTGGTTATACTTAAAGGAAGGGCCTACGTGGAGACATATCAGAGGTCGTTTCAGACAAGAGATGTTTTTACGCTGTGGGGAATCCTACAGTTGTTACGGAAGTACCCTGGTAAAGTGCCTGACTTGGATATGATGTTTGACTGCGTTGACTGGCCCGTCATCAAATCAAAAAATTTTGCTGCCCCTGATGCTCCCGTTCCACCACCATTGTTTCGTTACTGTAGCGACGATCAATCTCTGGACGTTGTTTTCCCCGATTGGTCTTTCTGGGGATGGTATGTATCATCACGTTTGAAAATTTTTAGTTGAATTTAAGCGGTTTTTTGTGAGGCCTGAGCCTGACTTTTGAAAATTTGACAGGCCTGAGATCAATATAAAGCCATGGGAGCCATTATTGGAGGATCTGAAAGAAGGAAACAGAAGAATGGCATGGGAAAATAGGGAACCGTATGCGTACTGGAAAGGTAATCCAGCAGTTGCCGAAACCAGGAAGGACCTTCTTAAATGTAATGTCTCAGACAAACAAGACTGGAATGCTCGCGTTTATGCCCAGGTAATTTATAATATTGGGTTTTTTAATTTTTGTATTGTGCGGCATTTTGTATGAAACCTGGAAACCTTTTGCAGAATTGGGTCGAAGCATCAAAGCAAGGGTACAAGGAATCAGATCTAAGAAGCCAATGCATGCATAGGTGAATATTTATTTAGCTATTCATAATTGGCGCATTTGTGTGCATATGTTTCCAGTTTTAATAATTGTATTTCATTTCCCTGTGGCTAGCTAATTCATCAAGGTTTCTTTCAAATTGATGCACTATACATGCAGGTATAAGATCTATATTGAAGGTTCTGCTTGGTCTGTCAGTGAGAAATACATTCTTGCCTGTGATTCTGTTACCTTAATAGTAAAACCCCAGTACTTTGATTTCTTCACAAGAGGTTTAGTACCGATGCGCCACTATTGGCCCATAAAGGATGATGATAAATGCAGATCTATTAAGTTCGCCGTCGATTGGGGCAACAGCCACCAGCGAGAGGTAAAAAATCTAACAACAATCAGAAACTTCTCCAATTTTGCCTTATTAGAAGTCTTGCCCTCTAGTTCAGAGCTGAGTAGCATGCAGGAGTAGTGTTCCACCATTAGGTCCATTACATGGCTATTTATCAAGAAAAATAAATAAATAAAATAACCATAAGAGATTTCCATGGAAAAGTGCATTTAAACTTCGCAGGCAGATCATATGGAATCATTTAAACTTTCTGATGATTGTTCTTGAACTATTGATTTCTAAGTTGGAATCCCTGTTGGTTTTGTCTGTTGTAATTCCAACCCTATACAGAAAGAAAGAGGCTAAGTAGCTAGCTAGCTCGAATTTTAGATTAATCTCATTTCCTAATACATTTTTCTTTCTCATTCATTTGTTCTCTGTGGATCTATCAGGTACAGAAAATGGGAAAGACATCAAGCAGATTCATCCAAGAGCAGTTGCAGATGAACTACGTGTATGACTACATGTTTCATCTGTTAAGTCAATACTCTAAGCTTTTGAGATACAAGCCCACAATACCTGAAAAAGCTGTTGAGTACTGTTCGGAGACAATGGCTTGCCCAGCGGAAGGATTACAGAAGAAGTTTATGATAGAATCCATGGTGACAGGTCCCTCAGAAACAAGCCCATGCACGATGCCTCCCCCTTATGATCCTCCATCTCTTAGTACCATTCTTAGGAGAAATGAAAAAACATTAACTCGGGTGGAATCATTGGAAAAGAAATACTGGGAGTCGGAGAATCAAACTAGGCAGTCATAGAAAAGTTTTTCTTTTGTTTACTCTTTATAGAATATAATATATCTTCCTAGTGTATAATCTCACACTATTCCTTGCATTGATAGATTCTTTTAATAAATTAATAATCACAAAGAACTTTTTATCTATTCAAAACTAGCTTATGGGTCAATTTTGGCAAGTCGGTACATCTTAAACATCTAAAAGAACTTATTGTTCTTCCAATTAGAAACCATATAAAGCAAAACTGGAGAAAGATTATTACGAAGCTTCTCTGTTTATGATACCATGATTTTACTCGTAAACTTCCTCCAGAAAGATTTTTACTTTCTGCTTTCTTCTCAAGATGATTATATTGAGTTTATGAGCTATCCGGATGAATCCGTATGATAATCTAAACAGGGCAGAAGCCAGAGCATATGAGGAGCACAATTGTTGGAATCTCTTGGTCACTCAAGAAGCCAATATTTCTAGTGAAATTTATCAGCTTGCCTAATTTGACATTTCATGCATAGATGCTTGAATTGTCGCAACAAATTGCTTCAGGGACAGTTTTAATACAGATTTTATATTGTGTCACTGTAAATATGATTTTATATAGGTGATTTTTTTTTATTTTTTTTTCAAACAAAAACAGTGGAGGCAGACTTATTCCAGTTTCTGACATGAAAGATTCAAGCTACGAGAGTATGAGTGTGTTTGACATTTGTTGTAGCTTAAGAATTAATCACTTCATTCTTAAGCTACAACAACAACAAAATATTTGAAGCTGATTATAAATTTGAAAAGCTACCAAGATGATGTCTTCTTCTTCAATGAAAAGTTCACAAGCAAGTTTGTTAAGGTTAAGATAGGCTCTGTGGTTGCACAAAGAAAATCAGGAAACCAGGCAGAGAGTGGAGTAAGACAGGAAACCCCAGATTGAGTCAGCGATTGTTAGGATCATGAAGGCAAGACGGGTGTTGAGTCAAAATAACATTGAAAAAAAAAAAACCTGTTGTATTGTCACCTTATCAGAGCCTTGCACCTGGGTTTGTAATTTCTCCTCCATTTGTAAGTTTGAATCTTGTTCTTGAATTATTACAAGTTCAGGTTGATTTTACTTGGGACATTTAATATATATTGACCACAGATTTAAACTCAGAAATAAGAAATTTAAATAAAATACCCAGAATATTTTGAAGGAAGCAGTATTCTAGTTTAGAAGTTGGAGATAAGATATTGGAGGAAACTAAACAGAATGTTTTACATGTGTAATGATCTGTTAAGTTGCCTCCAATTCTTACAAACAACTGATAAATCCACAGCATAAACAAAAATATATTAGAGAAAGAACTCAGGTTGTCATGATTTAGAAGTTGGAGATAAGATATTGGAGGAAATTAAACAGAATGTTATATTTGACCTATCTGTTTAGTTCCCTCCAACTCTTACATACAACTTATAAAATCCAGGTTTAGAACTCTTTTGTTGAATGTTTTCGGAGCTAATGGGTATTTATAAGCAAGGCAAACAAGAGAGAGGCTCACTTTTCAGTGGCTCAAAGAGCATGAACTGAAAGCTGCAGAACAGATTGTATAGTGCAATATCATTCAAGATTTGGTTTCTGTTAAGGAGATTATTACATGAACTGAAAGCTGCAAAACAGATTGGATCATTGGAAGCATGAAGGGTGGATGATAATTCAATCTCAAAACCCTTTCGTATAACAGAAGATTCATCTAATTTAATAATCACAATTTTTGGACCATAATAGCACTATATGATTCATATAACAGAAGAAATAATGACTCAGGGCAAGGGAAAGGAAATGTACTATTTCACATGATAAAAGTATGCATAATAGTACATTGAACTACTACATAGTATAAAACCCATAAGACAAAAGAAAATGTAAGAAGCAATTTCTGAAAGAAGAATGAAAAACATCTCTCAAGACGTAATTGTTAAGGAAAAAAGGAAAGAGAAAAATGGCAGCTTAATTCCACTAAAATGCTCGCCCTTTTACAATGTCAAGGCTCATCTCACTAGGATCCGTTGCTTGCAACTCAAATTGAATCCCATCCAATTCCCTTTTGAATCTGTCCTTGGAGCTTGCATACACCATTTTCATTCTCACCTTTGATGAATCAGGTGACCTTCAAACATAACAACAAATTATTTCAGTAAATATATGTAACAGCTTCACTTTGATAAATTATTGAATTATTGGGAGGAATTTCATTACCAGGCAATGAAGAAAATTTTGCTTTTCTGGCAGTTCTCACTAGTAATGAAATCAAAGTCAAAGACGGCATAGCGGCATTCATCAGCAGGAAGAGATGCACTAAAATCATCGTAAGTGTCACCAGGGCTACCGAGTTTCTCTACCACAACCTGCTGATTTTCAATCTTGAAGATGATAAATCGGTAGTTCCTTTTTGCTTTTAGTTCCAGAAATTTCAGCTTACATTCATCATCCACAGCCATTCCAGACGCCGCGTTCGCCTAACCCATTTGGATATATATGATTTCATTTCCATACAACATATAAATACATGAAGAATGAATTTCAGGATGCAAACTTTGCACCAAAGTTAAAACACATAAGAAGCTTGTTATAGAATGATATTTTGAAAGGGCATTCGAATAACGGAAATGCCATGGACAACAAGATTTGATATATGATAACACAAAACTACAATTATCTATATACATTTCGTTTTCGTTTTACTGTAATTTCACAAAACTTTACAGAACGGGTGTAGTTGATTTTTATGTTAGGGAAATCTAAAGACTCCAATTTTGTGTAAAACACATGAAAATGTTGATCATAATCCCTCCAACTTGCGCGCACCTCGACTAATCTTCTATAACCCTGAAATTAATGACCAGATAAACCTTCTAGTGGATGTCCTTATTAACAACCGAAGAGAATCAAACTCAAAACTTCTTGAATATATTATTCAAGAGCCCCTATCGTCCCGTCTGACCACCTAGGGGTGGTTCAAGTTTATCCTATTCCTTTTTTGTAAACACCAAAAAACGTGTCCAAAATACACTTGACCACCTTTACTATAGTATATTACAAAGGTTATTGTGTAGAAAAATGCATCTATTATAAACATATACAATAGTGGGAAATCCTGGGGACACTACATATTTATGGATGAGAATTAATTTGTTCTATTAGTCGCCTTAAAACTGTTTTATATTTTGAGAACTTTTCAAATTTTCCAACCTGAAAAATGCAAAAATAAGACGAGTGGAAACTAATAGAAAGGATATTGAAAAAACCACGTTGATCACTGGTAATTTTTTAGAAAAAGAACATCAAAAGAGGACAAATACTAGTGTCACAATAATCTTTATACTCTGGGGTTACTGCCTGATGAAAATTCTATTTTAATGAAAAAAGAAAAAAGTTGTCAATGTTGAAATATCTCTTGTAAATTATATGAGTTTCAAATGCAGAAATGCCCACAAGCTAAGCCACGAAGAGAAACTGTGGTCGATTGAATATTACAGAATCTCATGCAACTGCAAATCAATGAAATCTAGCTATTTCTACTTACAAAAATATTCATTAATATTACATTTCCCATTTTTATTGGTTGGCCAGCCATAACAAGATATATCATTCAAAAATTAACAAGGAACAGAGTGAGAAAGAAGTACCATGTTGTCAGTCGGATCCTTATGAGAAATGAAGAAAAGAAAAGATGATGAAGAAGAGAGGAAAATAAAAGTGAGAAAAGGAAGAACAGGAGAGAAGAAGAATACAGATCCTTAATTTGAGGGAAACATGATAGGTGCGAAGAATGCGGTTTGGTTAAGTAGAGAAATTTGAGGGAGAAAGCAAGGGTTGAGAATTCTCTGAGCTTCCAAGGCTCATAATCTTCTAACCATTTCATGTTATATATATATATATATGCATCAAAGCAGAAAGTCTATACATATAGATGTTGCCACGTTAAGATTAATTCAATGGCCATCTTCCTTTGCTTTTGGTTATTTATTTTTGTCACCAAAACTATTTCCTGAAAAAGGAACTGATTTCCTAACCAAGCCTAATATTACTCATGCCACATCTAAATAATTTGAGACAGTGTACAATAATTAGTATTAACTGAACATATAATCTGTGATTGAAACAGGATAGGCTTATCATAAACTTCAGGCCAATAAAGTGCAACAAATATTAGTACCCAATGTCACTTGATGAAAAAATTAACATCAGCAAAATTCACAACTAAAACAAAGGACAGAACGCTAAAATTGTAGAGATATTAATAAATTGATTCCAAGTGAGACAATTGATGGCAGGAAAAGATGATCAAGTTACTTTGGGGAAAAAAGGAATTCAAGTGTCCAAGGTACTCTGAAAAATAGCTATCATCTCTTGGCGTATATAAAAGAAAAACTCATAATCTTCGTCACAAGACAGTTCTTATCTTACAAAATTTTGACCACCATAGAGACTTGTTTTCCTCTTTGATTTTACATTACCTCTTAGTGCATATTACAACACAGGTTCATGAAATCATCACAAGACAGTTTTCATCCTACAAAATTTACCACTTTGGTTCCTTGTTTCTTCTTTGACTTTACATTACCATCTTTAGAATCAGATACAGGACCAACTTTTGATGCAGACTTGTCTTTGTTACCACTAGAAGTTTCTTCTATCACAAAGTCGCCATCAAGATCATCACCACTAACAAATTTGGTCACCTGTCCCCTTGGCATATCTTCAAACGCTGAAATGAAGAGATCATACATATATGTGTATCATTAGCATCAACATTATTAGGGTAAAATTGAGCTATAGCAATGAGACACTTGAAACATGTTACCTTCTATTCTTGTAGGGGCAGAACTTCTGTTGCCTTTATTAGGACAATCTTTTGCCAAATGTGTTACACCACCACATATCTTACAACAACCACCCTAAGAAAAAGCCAAAATAAAAATGTGTCAGACCCGACATGAAAGGAATGTTAGAATGTCCCAACCCATTTAACAAAAAAGATATGGTGGTCTTCATTCTAACAGAAGAGCCCATTGTCCATTTACAGCAAGAGTTCCTTTTTCTTAATAACCCTAGGTACCAAGTTTGAAACTAGGGACTATTTGATACTACAACCATCGGTAGTCAGGAAGCAATGGTTATAATATTCAAAGTAGGTAGCCACATGGGAATTTGAACCCATGATATCTTGGTTGCAAACCAAAAGTCATGCCATTTAACCAAGCATATGGGTTACCAGAGAGGGTCTCACTTAAGCATGGTCTTTAAGGAAATGGCCTAGATACAGTCCTAGCATCCAGCATTTAAAATAAAGTGGCCATTCTCAAGAACCAACCCCTGCATACTCGCATGAAGCAGCCAGAAACTTAGGTTTGTGTATCAGAGTATGGCCCCTCTTCTGAATGAAACAAAGATATGGAAATAGTCATAACTTACCTTTGGGTAGATTCCGTGCGTATTTTGAGGGCAGTTCTTGCTTAGATGTCCTTGTTCTTTACAGATAAAGCAACTGGCAAATTTTGTTCCACCTACATTACCCAAGAGGCTCATCATGTTCCGTGGGAAAAAAAATGATAAAAACCCCAAATTCAAGTATGCCATTAGATAAGTTCAGATCTCCTTTGGACATGCATAAGTTGTCCCATATTTTTCACATTTGATTACAAATACACAATCATGAAAGTCAAACATTAAGAGTGTGATTCTGCTACAAAGTGTACCATATAAATGGCAAACTCTTATTTTTTTCCCCTTATTTTTCCCCTAGGTAAACCTTTCCCTAAACTTTGTACGTTGAGACTTGAGAAAAATGTCCGTAAGATTGTTTGATATAGAATAAGAGAAAAAGAGGGAGAATCTCCCTTTACCAAAATGATCAAATAATTATTCTTCAAAGCCCTGACCTAGACTACTCTGAAATGTCCCCCTTGCATACATATGATTGAAATTGCCATATTATATGAGGCATTCTTCAAAACTCTAACCTCATTTATCTCTAAACTGAAATCCACCACTAATTACAGAGCATTTTATTTGTATACTATTGCTAGATAGAAATAGCTTATCATGCACAATCCTAAACTTCAAGGGTGTTCAATCTCATATATACTTTTAGAAACTACAGGCTGAAATGAGATTATGTCTGACAAAATATTTAAGACAAATAGTAAAAACAACTTAATTAAAAAAGCTCTCTAAATTATTTGCTGCAGCCAACTCCTAGTGATAGTATATGTCAATAGATTGAAAATTCCAAACCCCAAAATTTTTTCATAGTTTTCAACAGTCCATGACAATTGAAATTGATAAAGAATCGACTATTAATCATAACCTGTAATGGTTATGAACAACACCTATCTTGTGAAGATTAATGTACCAACATACTCCAAAATATGATTTTTTTTTTTTTTCTTTTTTAATGAATTCTCTAAATAAATAAAATCAAATGTAGTATTTATAAGATGCAATGTCATGTATCATTCACCATCAAGCAATCAACTGAATTGAGGTCACTATACAAACTAACTACAGAAAATTAAAAAACCAAGTATATCAAAATTTCAATGAAAAATATTATCCAAACACATAATTAACCAATTTTCAGTATCCTAAATTAATTAAAAGAACAATTACCATCTTGAAGTGGTTGGGGACATTGTGCAAGTGAATGCCCAGTTTTGCCGCAATTATAACACATCTTCTTGCTCTCAGTCTCTTCACTCTTAGAAGGACAATTCTTTAGACTATGTCCACGGTGCCTACAAAGCAAACATATCTGCAAAACACCATACAAAATCAATTAACTCCAAACCCACGTATAAAATATGAACAGAGTCAATTTTTCAATTAAAAAAAAAAAATTATCAAACCTTATTTTTTTCCCACTGAGCTTTCTCAGGGCAATGTTTGGCTATATGGTTTTTGGCTTTACAAATGTAGCAGCTCTCCCCAGGCTTCATGCCAGGGACTCTAAGTGGGTGTTTTTTGAAACTCTTTTTAATGGGTTTATTTGGGTCCCTGGGTTGTTTAGACTCTGATTTTTTGCGCTTGAAGGTCTTCTTTTTTTTCTTCTTGTCCGGGTCTTTCGGGGCCGTCGGCTCTGGCTTTGGGAACAACTCTGGGTGCTCTTCTTTGTATCGCTTGCGAGCTAGTTTCTGTCTTTCGCTGACCATCTTGGCTAAAACTGTGAATGAGAACTGAATAGACTTGGATATTCAAGGGTTTAAGCTGGAGCAGAGAGGGTTTTGGAGGCTATGCAATGCGAGAGGAAAGGGTTCACGGATGAGTCAATAGTTCTCCTACGGTGATAACTACTGGAATCTGCTATGTGTCAGAGTTTCATTGGCGAGATGGAATTGAGTCAAATAGAAGCCTCACAATTGACTTCCAAGTATTGATTTAAGCATTAAAATCATAATTTACTTAATGTTTCGTAATTTATTTTGAAGGGTGCGCTTGGTTCAATGAATGTTGAATTATTAGAAAGTTAGATTATCTTGAGGGGGCATTTGATTAAGGGAATGTTGGATTACTGAAAAGTTAGATTATCTTGAGGGGGCATTTGATTAAGGGAATATTAGATTACTGGGAATGTTGAATCATAATTTATTTAGGGTGCGTTCGGTTCAAGGTGAGATAAGATAAATCCTATAATCTTTGTTTAATTTTCAAGATTCTCTCGTTTGGTTGTCAAGTAATATAATATTACAGTAATATTTTATTACAAATAGTGGTTACTATTGGTAATATTGAGGGTAATTATATTACCTTCCCAGGGGATGTTAATGTTAGATTACCGGGGTAATCATAATTGTTACCCTATTTTGTCCTTAATATTTTATCATTCCGGACACATTTGCTCTCATATATCTACCAAATAACAATTACCCAGACCCCCTACATTTGAGAACTTAGCTAAAACACCTCCGCCACAAAAAAAGTTTAAAAGTTAACAAAATACCCCCAATCATCCAAGACCACCACCGGCCGCTAGCCACCACCGCTGGCCACCGGCGAAAGTCTTCATATCGGCACAAGACCGGCATGATCTTGCCGGTCGTGTGCCGATAAGGACATTTCCAACCATGGATTTGTGATCCATGGTCGGAAATGACTAGATCTGGTCGTTTCACGGCCACATCTTTGGCCGTGAAATGGCCATATTAACGGCCAGATCTAGCCGTGAAACGACCATATTCACGGCCAGATCTGGTTAGATTAGGCCTGATCGGCATACGACCAGCCAAATCCGGCTGGTCATGCGCCATTACAGTAGCTTCCGGTGGTGGTGGTGGTGGTGGCTGCAGGCGGTGGCTTGGGGTGATTTTGCTACAAATTAAAGTTGTATATGGTTGGAGTGTTTTGGTAAAATTTCAAATATAGGGGGGTTAAAAAAATAATTTAAAAAATAATAATATACCCATCAATTTATTCCAACTGACCAAACACATTTCTCTAAAGATTCCCTAGTAATCTATCTTTCCAGTAATACAATATTCCTCAATAATATAACATTCTCTGAACCAAACGCTGCCTTAATGTTTCATAATTTATTTTTAAGGATAAGTTTGGTTCAAGGAATGTTGGATTACTGGAAAGTTAGGTTACCTTGAGGGGGCGTTTGGTTCAGGAAATGTTGGATTATTGAAATCTTATATTACCTTTAAGATTATTGGAAACATTTAAGAAAATGTGTTTGGTTAGTTGTTGGGTATGGTATATTAATATGTTTGGTTAGGGGAATAAATTGGTGGGTATATTTTTTAAATTACTAAATTGTCCCTCTTTAAATATTAATATAATATTATTTTTATTATTAATTTTTGAATAACTTTTTTAACCCTCAATATTTCAGATTTAGCTAAAACACCCCGCTTATATAAAACTTTAATTTATGACGAAATCACCCCCACCCCTTGCTACCACTGCAAACCACCGCCGGAAGTCTCCGAAAGTTGCCGTGAATAGCTCATCGTGACCACGAGGCTCCGATATGGTCGTTTCTAGCCATATTGATGGCCGAAAATTGCCAGATCTGGCTAGAAACGACCATATCGAAGCCTCCCGCAGAATCTTGGCCTTTTTAAGGGACTCTGGTGGCGGTCTGTGGTGGTTACCCCGCTGTCGGTGGTGGTGGTTGGGTGATAGTGGTGGTCTGTAATTTGTTTTAAATATAAGGACATTGTTGTCCAAAATTTTAATTAAACAAGGGTAAAATTGAAATGGTATATTAATGTAAATTTATTTTAAAATAGGGGTATTATTGTCCAAAATTTTTATTAATAAGGGATAGAATTGTAACAAAAATAAGATTACCTTAGTAATCTTACAATATCAAAGAAAATTGAGGTAATTAGATTACTTCCAATATTACTAATAGTAACAACTATTGATAATATAAGATTACCGGAATCTTATATTACTTGACAACTAAACATAGTAATCAAGTAATATAAGATGACATAACCCTAATACTCTTTTATTACCTCCAACCAAACGCCCCCTGAAGATTACTGGGAATCTTTAGAAAAATGTGTTTGGTTAGTTAGAATAAATTAGTGGGTATGTTTTATTAATATGTTTGGTTTGGAGGAATAAATTGGTGGGTATATTATTTAAATTACTGAATTGTCCTATAATTAAATATTATTTTTTAATATTGATTATTATAACCCCTTTACATTTAAAAATTGAGCAAAAATAACCCCATAATAAAAGTTTGAAAAATCAACAAAGCAACCCCACAACCCAACCACTGCCAGCAGCCTAACGATGAACGGAAGGTAGGAAATGGCCTCCGTACGCCTTATGGCCATTTTCGACAATCAATCTGGGCGAAAATGGTCATATTGGCTCACGACGGGAATTTTTGGCCCTTCGTGCGCCTTTCCGACGGCGTCGGCTGGCCGCGGTGGTCATTGTCGGCAGTAGGTGGGTGCGGGTGGTGGCTTAGGTGGGCTGCAATTTGTTTTGAATTCAAGGGTAATTTTGTCCAAAAAGTTAATTAATTGGGGTGAAATAGTAAAAACAACATTCATGTAAATAAATTTTAAAATAAGGGCATTATTGTCCTAAAATTTTATCAATAAGGGATATAATTGTAACAAAAAAAGATTACACTAGTAATCTTACAATACCTAAGAAAATGGAGGTAATCAGATTACTTCCAATATTATCAACAGTAACTACTATTGGTATTTAAAGATTATCGGAATCTTATATTACTTGACAACCAAACGTAATAATCAAGTAATATAAGATGAAATAACCCCAATAAGCCCACATTACCCCCAACCAAATGCCTCCTAAGAGTATTTCTTATTATTTTAGAAAAATCTATTTATTTTTGGTAACCAGGGTGTCTGGACTAACTAACGCACACCTCAACTAATCCCGACCTAATGAACAGGTAAATTACCTAATCGACAGGCAAGTTAAAAATATGGTAGGTGATTACTTTGTGTGATTCAAACACAAGACTTTTAAGTAACTCAGAGTCTTGTCATCCGACCATAAGTCAAATGGATAAAAATTACATTCTTATTGTTAGCAAAATGCACCTCTCCCCTTGTGGTCAAATGACAAATACTTTAGCCACTAGGGTTAGCTATACCCAGAGGGTATTGTGTTTGAGTCGCAGGAAAAAGTACTATATTTATGCAATTATCTTGGTCCATTAGATTTAGTAGGGTGTTTCTAGCCTTGAGGATTAGATAGTCTCAAATATGTAGAGATGGCAAAGGGTTCAATATTTCTGGGTACCTGACCCGAAAAGACCGGGCTTTACCCTATGTTCTCGGGCTTGGGCTTGGGCCTGGGCCTAATTTTAAGGCCCCGCTTCGAGTAGGGTTGGGCCTGGGTATGTCTTCAGGCCTGGCCTGACAATTTTAGTATTAATTTTACTAAATTACCCTTATATTATATATTTAATTACAAGATTATCCTATATATATTTACTCATGTTTCCCAAACCCTATATGGATGGATGGATGCACTTTGTGGAATGTTATTTATATATTTGGTGAGTATTCAAAAATAAATTAATATTTAAAAACTATTTCTAGAATTAAAAAAAAAAAAATTAAAATTTATTAATATTTAAAAATTCACATTATAAAAATGGGCGGGCTTGAGGTTACAAAAAACTCGTAAGGCCAGGCTTGAGTTTTACATGTTATACACGGGCCCGGGCCTAAGCCAAGGGGTACTCAGTCCCGACCTGACCCATTGCCATCACTACAAATATGGGTCTAGATGTCTCAAACACCTAAAAAAAAAATTTGTCAAATGCCTAAATTATTTGTTTGCTTACATTGCTTTATAAAAAATAAAAAATGTGGTGTAAACCATGGTTTGTACCTAACACATCACAAATATATGTGTAATGTTGAATAATGATTATTAAAACTAATGACGACTTGTAATATTGAACTACAAATAAATAACATTAAATATCTGATTGTGCACATATCAATCATATGGAGTGGGTTTGGATTGGAAGGAAGGGCATGAACATGATTAAAAAGGGGGAGATACTTAGCTTGGTAACCAAGGGTTGGGGCACATCTGCTCTCACTTTGTTGTCAGTTTTGATTAATACATTGCTTCTAATTTTGTCCATTCAATCCCTTTTCTTCTCCTGCTTTCCCATATCATATGGGGCCATTTCTATACTTCACTATTGTCACTTCAAGTAACCCTCACGTTTGGTACGAATCATGATTTTCCCATAGCTTTATCAACAGGGACCAACACACAAAATCCACTTCTATTTCATCCCTTTCTTAACAAACAAAACTGTCCCCTTTTCGGCCAGTTATAAGCTTCATTTTTAAATCTGTTCCCAGATATTTTCTTTTCAATAAAATTGATTTTTTTAATTAATTTCTAATATTTTAAAGAAAAAAAATTGTCGAATTATTTGACTCTCTAGAAAATTTTGACCATATGTTTGTTGATAAATTATTTATTTAACCAATAAAATTGTTTACTTTTAGATTTTTCTGAAAGTGCTAGGCACATGACACTCTTCCCAATCACGTGGCCGCTTTGTACTCTGCATGTGCAAGGTAACAGACACAACACAACCCTATCCACCAGCCTTTTCTTTCTTCTCCACATGCCACAAGCGCGTGTACTGCTCCTTCTCATATACTCGCGTGGTCTTCCAGAAACAAATACCAAATATATGTTTTCCAGTTTTCTGAAAATTTCAAAATTCAAAATTCCCCCTTAAATCTAACGCTTCCGTACAATCCCCGTCAAATCTCGCCCTATCTAACGGCGAAACATCACTCCGTTAAATCCCTCCTATATATATCTCCTCTTTTCTGCCCCTAGTCTCAGTCTCGCACTCTGGTTTCAGTCTCATTTCTGCACCCCAAAGAGAAAAATAATATCAGTCTCGAACTCACTCTCTGAAAATGCGTGAGATTCTTCACATACAAGGAGGCCAATGTGGCAACCAGATCGGAGCTAAGTTCTGGGAGGTGGTGTGCGCCGAGCACGGGATCGACTCGACGGGGAGGTACGGCGGTGACAACGATCTGCAGCTTGAGAGAGTGAACGTGTACTACAATGAGGCGAGTTGTGGACGGTTTGTTCCTCGGGCCGTGCTTATGGATCTGGAGCCCGGAACCATGGACAGTGTCAGATCTGGGCCGTATGGTCAGATTTTTAGGCCTGATAACTTCGTGTTTGGACAGTCCGGTGCCGGAAATAACTGGGCCAAGGGACACTACACCGAAGGAGCTGAGTTGATCGACTCCGTCCTCGATGTTGTCAGGAAAGAGGCTGAGAACTGTGACTGCTTGCAAGGTTTGTTTTAGTCAACTATTTTCAGCATCTTTTAGTTTTGAAGAAGTTGATTTTGAAAATGTTTTGCGATCTTCTGTTGATTGTGTGTTTCTTTCACTTAGTCATATTTCCAGCGCATTTGTTTTTATTTACTTGTTTTTGCTTTTGAACTTTTGTTTGAAGTTATGGTAAACGCAGGATCCGAGTCAACTCAGTGGGGTTAAGAAACATATATTTTGGTTTTAGTACTTTGCATAGCTGGTGTTACAGATCTATCTGGTTTAGGTTCTGTTCGGATGCAGTTCATGAATTATTGGATTTTTTTTTTTTTTTGGGGGGATATTGAAACTATACCAACAATCCTAGAAGAAAAAAAATAGACGATTGAATTTCATATTATTAGTAAGTTCAGCAATTGTGCATAATTGGCTTTAATATGGTAAGATTGTGCACACGGAGTGAACTGATTGTGTAATTGCGTTGATTTTAATTTGCTTGTGCTTCAATGGAACATTCTGTCATTATTTGTGTGTCAAGTGCTAAGGGTTTTGTTGATTTGTGATTTCAGGTTTCCAAGTATGCCACTCTTTGGGAGGTGGTACTGGTTCTGGTATGGGAACACTTTTGATTTCAAAGATCAGAGAAGAGTATCCAGATAGGATGATGCTTACTTTCTCCGTGTTTCCATCTCCAAAGGTGTCTGATACTGTTGTCGAACCTTACAATGCCACACTTTCTGTTCACCAGCTGGTTGAAAATGCAGATGAGTGTATGGTTTTGGACAATGAAGCTCTCTATGATATTTGCTTCAGAACCTTGAAGCTCACTACTCCAAGCTGTAAGTTAATATTACCTTTTCAGTTACAGTTTGAAGTGCTTCATTATTTTAGTAATTATATATTGTGGATGGTATAATTGTTTGGCAAGTTATGCAGGTTCAATTTATTGTTTATGTTTGATATGTGGCCTTGCATTAGCAAGTGAGATGATGATATCTATTTTGTGTTTGTTGTCAAATGTTCATTATTTGATCTTGTTACCTGTGATGATTTGGAAAAGGTTTGTGTTCAAGAGCAGCCAGAAGTCAGATGGGTGCTTCATGATGTGGTGAATAGATCTCTTTGTTTCTATTTTTGAATCTGCATATATTGTGTCAGAACATGCCATTAGCAAATAGTTCAGTTTGTTGTCCCACTTGTAGAATACTTGAATCCTGACTTGGGAATTCAGTAAGTTGACCCGCAAAGTTAAATAAATCCAAATAAATGGTAGTAGTAGGCTAACACATTTATTTTTTTTAGCTGACTAGTTGATTGTAAAAGAGAATTGGAGAGATTTTTTGCTTGTGAATGCTAATATTGAATGATTTACATGTCTATTTTATGCTGTGTCCTTGCTGTTGTAGTTGTAACTTCTAATGATTTTGAAGGAACATTCTTTTAAGGGTTGAGGGAGATGGTAAAATGGTTCTATATAGATCATAGTTATCTTTGTTTTTCAATTTCTTGTTTGCAATCAATGCTATGTTTGAAGAATCATCAGATCTGACAATTGTTTCTGTTTAAATCCAGTTGGAGACTTGAATCACCTTATTTCTGCCACCATGAGTGGAGTGACTTGCTGCCTTCGCTTCCCGGGTCAACTCAACTCTGATCTCCGCAAGCTTGCAGTTAATCTTATTCCATTCCCCCGCCTGCATTTCTTCATGGTGGGGTTTGCTCCACTTACATCTCGTGGATCACAGCAATACAGGGCCCTCACTGTTCCTGAGCTCACTCAACAAATGTGGGATGCCAAGAATATGATGTGTGCTGCTGATCCACGCCATGGTCGGTATTTGACTGCCTCAGCCATGTTCCGTGGCAAGATGAGCACCAAGGAAGTTGATGAACAGATGATTAATGTACAGAACAAGAACTCATCCTACTTTGTTGAGTGGATCCCCAACAATGTGAAGTCTACCGTTTGTGATATCCCCCCAACTGGTCTTAAAATGGCTTCAACATTTATTGGAAACTCCACATCGATTCAGGAAATGTTTAGGAGGGTGAGTGAGCAGTTCACAGCCATGTTCCGCAGGAAAGCTTTCTTGCATTGGTACACAGGAGAGGGAATGGATGAAATGGAGTTTACTGAGGCTGAGAGCAACATGAACGATTTGGTTTCTGAGTACCAACAGTATCAAGATGCAACTGCAGATGAGGAAGGCTATGAATATGAAGATGAGGAGGAAGTTCAAGAGGAGGATTGATAGTGTTGTCTGGGTTTAGTGTCTGGATGTTCAGTTTACTGCATTTATGTTGAGAACTTGATGTTTCTTTTTTGTACCTGAATACCTTATTTGGGTGTTTTGATTGTTATGTGGTGTGTTTTTTTGTTTGGTTCTGGTGTTGTAGTTTATAGGGCGTTGGGTTATAGAGAACATACTCACTTTTGGTAGTGTTAGTAAGTGGCTATTAGTAGACCTCTGTTTTATATTTAGAGTCAATTCCTATGCTTGCATATATGCTATGGTTCGATTCTGTAGCTGTCGCTACATTGCCTTTGGTTCTTCTGGGCACTGGAGTTTTGGCAATCGCTCTTGCTATATTCCCATTTTAATCTTCTATCTTAATTCGGTTGAGCACAACTTGTTCAACTGTTTTGGACCTTTTGGTTCTTGGAACTGAATCACCTCATGAGTAGCATGACGGAATTGTGTTGGAACACTATAAACTGTTCAATAATTCAAAATACGAAGATGTCTGGTTCAAATTATTGTGTTTGCTTGCGCTGCTTCTCGTGTTATACATATATCGAGAATCGTAGTTTCATTTCTGTACACTGGGAAACAATTCTCATTTTATTTTTCAATTGGATTGGGCTTCAATTACTTAACAATTTAGGTTTTTCCTGATTGAAACATGGATTATGCATTGTATTCGGTAAAACGAAGGCTCGAAGAATAATTCTAACTTTAATAATCATGTATTATTTATGAAAACCATCCAACTATATAAGAACTAAAAAATATAATTATACAATCCTTTTCACCATCGAAGTGCATAAAAATAGAAAAATATAACACTTTGACATCAACAACGGGATCTTATATGCTATTTACATACTTGAAGTACTAATGGGATTGGGGAGTGGTTCCCTCTTAAGCTCCAAACTTGGGAACTTTAGCAGTTGAGATTTGAGAAATGTAGTGTTCTGCCAGAATTCGACGTTGAATCTTTCCACTGGCAGTCTTTGGGAAAGAATTTGTGATGAAAACTCTCTTGGGTACCTTAAAAGATGCAAGATTTTTCTTGCAAAACCTCAGCACCTCCTCTTCATCAATCTTTGTTCCTTGTCGAGGAATGACGGCGCAGTTGATCTGTTGGAGACAAAAATATAAACCATAAATATTTTTTCTCAATCCTGTTAATACTATTTCCAAAATACACATTTATTTTTCTATTTTGAAAATACAATTATATTTTATTCAATTTTTTAAACCCCATAAGTTTATTAATTTAACTAAACACTCCTTAGAAAAAAAGTTTAGAAATTGATAAAAACACCTCTACCCACCTATATTTGTCAAATTCCAACCACCACCGCTGAAAGGTGACTGAAATCTGGTATAATGACGCATTACCAGCTAGATCTGGCTAGCAATGTGCCGATCTATCATTTGACCGAAAAAGGCCAGATCTTTTACTGTAGTTGGTCTTCAACAACGACCATATCTTTGGCCGTCGTTGATCACCCAAGATCTGACATTTTCCGGCTAAATTCATGGTGAATCTGACTAGAAAAAAGCCATTTCGATGCACGATCGACTAAATCCAACCGATCGTGCGCCGTAACGCTAGATTCTGACGGTGATGACCGAAATTTGGCAACTGTGTGTGGTGGAGATGTTTTTGTTATTTTATAAAATTTTTATATATTGGGGTGTTAAGTTAAATTTGCAAACCTAGGGATTTTTTTTTTGTTAATTTTTAAATTTTACCTCATAATAATCATCCAATTCTACTTATCAATAATATTTCAAAAATATTATTCAAAATAATAAAACAAACACACCAACAAGTTTCTCCTTTTGCTTAAACCACAATTACGTGTGATAGGATTCTTCAAAGTTTTAGTTATATATCCCTTTCTTTGTGTTTTAATCAGCACTTAAAAAAAGAAAAATCACATTGATCCAAGTTACTATACTTTTGTTGACTCATCAACACACGGGTGGAACGTGAATGGACTTCTCTGGACATTACTTGTAAAATCAATATTTGTGGACAAAATCAAGTTTCTTGTTCTTACCTCTTCACCATATTTGTCATCAGGGACTCCAAAAGCAACAGCTTGCGCAATGTCAGGATGGGTTATCAGGACTGCATCCACTTCAATTGGTGATATTTTCTCCCCTGAAATTCAGTATTACCACAATCAAAAAGGTCAATTTCCAAATATTGCATGTTTTTTTAATATATATTTGAAAAATAAGAATTATATCATTTTAAAGATTAAATAATTACCTCCACGGTTGATGAGCTCCTTGATCCGACCCACGAGATGCAAATATCCATCCGAATCGAAATACCCTATATCACCTGTGTGAAACCACCCGTATTGAAAGGCAGACCGATTAGCCTCAGGGTTATTTTTATAACCTTTAGTTACGTTTGATCCCTTAATACACACTTCACCATGCACTTCTGCCTTTTGAGGTACACCATTTTCATCCAAAATCGCCATTTCTTGTCCCACGGGTCGACCCACCGATCCGGGCTTATGGGGACCGTCTTCTGGTAATGGATTGGATGCCATTAAATGGCTCGCCTCAGTCATTGCATATGCTTCTAAAACCGGAGCACCAAATGTTTCTTCAAGCTGAGTAAATACACTTGGCGGCAGTGAGGCGCTGCAGCTCCGAATAAATCGGAGCTTCGGGTAAACGGGTTCGGGGTTATTCATATGCCGGTCTAATATGATCTGGTGTATGGTGGGGACCGCAGTGTACCACGTGGCATTATATTTGACCATGTCTTTCCAAAATGTTGAAGCCGAGAACCTCCCAGCGGCTGGAAGAGTCACGGCGGCTCCCGCTCCAAGAGAGCTCAATAAGCCGGCCATCAAGCCATGAACATGAAAAAGCGGGAGTACTAGTACGGTAGAGTCTGATTCAGTGAGTTTGTAAACCGATATGATGTTTTGCATGGAGGAAGCTAAATTGAGCTGAGTTAACGGGACCCCTTTGGGGTGGCTCGTGGTGCCTGAAGTGTGGAGGAAGATTGCGTCATCGGATGGTTCATTGATGAGTTTATCGATTGAGTTGGAATTTGACTCGGACTGAGGGAGTGAGAGAGAGAGTTCTGATTCAGGTTCAGGGAAATGAGCCGTGGCTTGATGAATTTTGAGCTTGGAAGCCGCGGCTTGAGCTTGAGCATTTCCTTGAATCGGGGTAAATAAAAGCTTTGCTTCTGAGTCTGATAGGTAAAACTCGAACTCGTCTGGTGTGTACGCTGGGTTGAGCGGCACGGCGGTGGCACGTGCTCGGATTACGGCCAAAAGCATTATTACCATCTGTAAACACAAAAATTGCAGTTCATTATTTCAGGTTATCAAATATAATTATAAACTTACATTATTTTGAAATATCAATGTTAAATTTGGTTTGAAAGCCGCCTTCGTAAATGGCTGTCATGAACTACGGAGGTTAACATCTCTAGAGATCACTTCACAAGTCACGCAACTTTGACATTTTCAAGATATGAAGATTGTTTGTTACAACAAGTTTGATTGTAAAAATAACAATCTTTATTACTTCAAAGATAGAGAATTAACACCAATGAAATTGTATAATTTATTTATTATTTTCTAAAATTAATATTCACAGAATTGATGAAAACATATAAATATTTCTACAATTGAACGTATTGAATTTCTGGTTTATTTTTATAATCCTATATGAAAAAGGAAAGAAACAGGTATATATATCTTGCTTTTCACGAATTAAATCAACCAAAAAGACTTCAAAAAATAAAAATAAACAAAATTTTTTAGTAAAAAGAAAAAGCAAACCTCGACTGTGTTTGGAAAGGTGAATGCAACGACATCGCCAGCGTTAATCCCTGACGCAACAAGACGAGTAGCGGCACGTTCAACAAGTTCATGAAGGCGAGAATACGTCAAATCAAACTTACCAGAGACCGACACAGCTCTCCGTGAAGGAAAATTTTCAGCCGCCTGCTTAAACAATCCACTCACTGTAACGCTTTCCATTCTCCTTTTTTCTTTTTGTATTTAATTTATGAATATAGCGAAAGAATATATCTTTTCTTTTTGGTTACAAATCAAATAATAAATAAAGCAGAAGATCGAGAGATAAAGAGGCACCGACAGGTAGTGAGAGAAAGACCGATTTGGGCTAGCGAATTTGGCAGAGACGATGACGTTATATGTGTGGGGAGTTGGCAAGACTTTGGGCTGGGGTAGGTTAGCCACGTGGCAATTCTTATAGAGGCCGCGAAAGGTGTATAGCTTTCTAATTTCAAAATTTTGTTTATTAAACTTGGATTGATAATTATTAAAATTCTCATGATTAAACAATTTTCTACCCGACTTAAGATATTGATTTAAAAAAATATATAAAATGGTGTATCCATAACTGATGGTCAAAAAGAAATATTCGAGAAATACTCCAATAGAATAAAAAAAAAAAAAATATGTGTATCAAGTTTAGGGAGGTGGGGATCGTGGAGTGGTGAAATGAGGTTGATCGGTGATGAGATTTGGTGGCTTGTACTTCAGGATTCTTACACGTGTCTCTAAGTCTATGACAACTGTTGGTGCCATGTTTGATGATGTGGACGACCATGTATTTTTAAATAATAATAGCACGTTTTGCAACGGAATGCTGTGGCCACATCGTATTATAAATTGAAGGGTCTATTTCTGAGTAGATGATAGGAAGCTTATAGAAGCACCAACACATACACCCACTCAATTTTGGTTCTTCTACCCCAAATTAAGAAGCCTGCAGGACATTTTAGGGAATTCTCGTATAAGTGTATTAAATTTTAATAAAACCCTTATAGTTTTTGAAATCACAAAATACACTTAAAATTATAAACCCATCCCCAATTTAGTAATGCACATTAATTATCAATTCATGCTATTTATTTTAAGCATTATTCTAAATTTGAAATTTCAACCCATCAACTTTGGAAATTGTAAATGCACTACTAAGAGCACAGCGTTTCCCCGGTAGCCGCCAAAAAGAAGAAGATGACAAAGAAAAATGATTTGGGTGAGGTTCATTCTCTTCCCAATAAAAAGCGAGGCTGCCGACAGCGGAAACTTGTTTGTGGTGAGCTGATAAGCTTCATGCTCAACTAAAAGTAGGAGGAGGTCGACAAGCTTTACGTCAATCATGAGATTAACGATGACAGCAATAAATGGTAGGCACTTGGCATTGTTGCCACCTCTTCTTTATTATAATCACCCCCAAATCCCAGACAGTGATTTGTCATTTGCTTTCTTATAACTTAATTTTATAAGTGTACAAATTCTGATATAAAGAAAAACAAATTAGGAATATGATGTTAAGAAAGTAGGGTTTAGTCAACTCCCGATCTAGCCGGTAAGGAGGTTTATTCATTTTTTTTGAATTTTTGAATTCAAAGTCTAGTAGTTTAGGAGGTTTGCTCTCCCATTTCCTTCAATTTTTTGGTTTAAACATTAAGATCATTTACCATAATAATGTTATAGTTTACATAGTTTTTTGAGCTTTGAAGTGTTCAATGAACCTCGAAGATTAGTTAAGACATACATAAATTGGTATGAACACTTTAATTATCAAAAAAAAAAAAAAAGAAAAAGAAAAAAAAAAAAAGGTAATATCAAGATATATAGTTAAAAGCATTAGAAGGGGAATGAGTGATCTTACCCAATCATCTTTGAAACTTTTTTATTTAGATAACTTGATAATGGACTGAACTAATATTTTATTGGGTTTTAGGACGATGTGTCATATCATGTTTGCTTGGGCCACAACTTGATTTAGCATGCCAACAATATTTCAATATTGTCTCCATGAATCGAATCAATTCAGGTCTTGTCTAAATAATATACTCCCTTGGTTATGTATATCATCTTCAAGCTTTTCATTTTTTCAATGAAATTGGTAAGGAGAATAATTATCGAAGGTATTACCTCCAAGTTATTCTCTGATGGTGGAGTATAGATTTCGATTATTCTTATGAGGTGTGCANAAGAAGGGCTGTTTTTTGTCGTCTCCTTCATTGCAAATATTCATCCTTATTTTTGGACTTCTCTTCCAAGAACCAACAAATTGCTTATGGGCAAAGCTGCTTTTGCTTTAGATGGTGATGAATGTGGATTTGGTGGCTTGGAGTTTTCTTCTACAATAGATGAATCCTTAAAGAATGATCCACCAAAAGCGTAAAAGCGCACTTCGTATGTGGGCTATACTTGATGGAATTAACTTGAAATATGAATAAATAGTTTTAAAATGTAATAAATTTATCAATTTTTTCACTTGTTTGTCTGTGGTGTGCATAATGTTTACTTGATTTTCGGTTGATTTATTATTATTTTTTTTTCAGTCATTGAATAATATTGACTTCCAAACACCTTCAAGTCTTGTAGACCTTTGGATTTTCAAACTTGTAATTGCTAATGGCTGATGCTTTTATTCAAATTTTGCTGGAGAATTTGAACTCACTCATCCGAAAGGAGGTTAGGTTGCTTTGGGGTGTTGACAAAGACATGAAAAAACTTTCCAGCTTGCTCTCAACTATTCAAGCTGTGCTAGAAGATGCTGAAAAGAAGGAAGGGCAAGACAAGGAGCTTCAGAATTGGCTGCAGCAGCTAAAAGAAGCAGCTTATAAGGTGGATGACATCTTGGATGATTGTGCAACAGAAGTCTCTCGATTAGAGTCTAAAGCCCAAAATTCAAGGTGTATCAACAAGGTAAACACTTCTCTCTTAAACAAACTTCGTCTAGATACTATTTTATTTTGTCGCATGATTGGCATTAGGATGAAAGAGATTAGAGAGAGGTTAGATGGAATTGCAGAGGAGAGGATAAAGTTTCATTTGAATGAGGTAGTTTCACAGAGGGGAGCTGAAGTCAGAGAAGAATGCCAAACCGGCTCCATCACTACTCAATCTCACGTATATGGTAGAGATGAAGATAAAGAAATAATTGTTGAAAAGTTGGTGAATCATGTAGCCAGTTGTGATGACATTTCGGTCTACCCTGTTGTTGGTATTGGGGGGCTTGGGAAGACAACGCTTGCTCAGGTGGTCTACAATGATGAGAATTTGGGTTTGCATTTTAGAGGATTTTAGTGTGGAGAGGATCATAAAAGCTATAATTGGATCTGCAACTAGAACTGCTTGTGAAGATCTAGACTTAAACCCTTTGCAGAGACGCCTTTAAAATATATTGAACAAGAAAAGGTATTTGCTTGTGCTAGATGATGTATGGAGTGAAGATGAAGAGAAGTGGGATAGATTAAAGTATGTTGGCATGTGGATCGAAAGGTGCTTCGATTATTGTCAGTACTCGAAGCAGAAAGGTTGCATCAATTATGAGAAGTAGAACGCTTCCCATGCATCATTTGTCAGGATTATCAGAAGATGAATGTTGGTTGTTGTTTAAAGAACAGACATTTGGACAAGAGAAAGAAGAGCATCTGATAGGAACCCACTCCAATAACTCAACAATTTTGGGCTGGGCCATGGGTCTTTCATGGGCTTGGGTAGAACTCTCCTTGGAAAACTGGCTTGCCAAGGGAGGGTGCCCAAGCCTTTATAACCCGCATGCCCACCTTTTTTCCTTTCAATGTGGGATCCTAACATTCCACCACGCTTCTGCAATCGACGTCCACGTCGGCCTCTTTACCCCCGTCAGCCTCTTTAACCCTTGGGTGACTAAGCAGATCCCCTTTCCCTCGGGCCTCCATGCCCTTTATCGGGGTAGCAGCTCGGGCCCAAGGTCAGCCTACCACGGGTCAGCCTGCCACACGTGCGCTGCCACATAGGCGTAGGATCATGCTCTGATACCAATTGATAGGAACCTACTCCAATAACTCAACAATTTTGGGCTGGGCCATGGGTCTTTCATGGGCTTGGGTAGAACTCTCCTTGGAAAACCGGCTTGCCAAGGGAGGGTACCCAAGCCTTTATAACCCACATGCCCACCCTTTTCCCTTTCAATGTAAGTTCCTAACAACATCCAAACCTGTTGCAATAGGGAAAGAGATAGTGAAGAAGTGTAGCGGTGTGCCTTTGGNAATCAGCCCTTTAATTGGCTGATCACATGCCTAAAATAGAAAAGGAAAGTGGGGAGCTTTAAATGGTTGTGTTATTAGCCATTCACGCCTATAAAAGTAATAAACAAATAGAAGGAAAGTAAATGGCATGCAAGCCTTATAATCAGACCCAAAAAAAGGAGTATTCTTAAACATGCCAATTTAAGCTTAGCCTTGGCTAGATTCTTCTAGAACTTGAATCATATTGATGAATCTTTGTTGCTCACGTGGAATATGCTCAATGGGCCTTCATGAATTTGCTTGAGTCCATGCCTCTTGAATCAGTCCGTTGAGTACATCTTTAAACTTCCTTCCTCGTGCTCTCGTAACCAGCCCCATTGGGACGTGAACTAGATCCCTTGAAGTTGTGCTACGATTTGCATCATTCCCCTTCTCTTGAAAAGGATTTGCCCTCAAATCATCACCTACATCAAAATGACTCAAATCAGTAACATTAAAAGTAGCACTTACATTGTACTCACCAGCTAAATCTAGCTTGTAAGCGTTGTCATTGATGTGTTCTTGGACTTGGAAAGGACCATCTCCTCTTGGAAGCAATTTGGAACCTCTTTGCGCCAAAAATCTCTCTTTTCTCATATGCAACCAAACCCAATCTCCAGGTTCAAAAAGCAGCTTGTGACGCCCCTTGTTGGCTTGTTTTGCATACTGCTCCATTCTTCGCTCAATGTTGAGTCTTGCTTTCTCATGAATCTGCTTGACAAAGTCAGCTTTCTTTTTGCCATCTAAATTAACATGCTCAGTCAAAGGTAAAGGAGATAAAGTAGACAAAGTCCTATTTACTACTTCAGTTTGACCATCAGTTTGTGGATGACAATTAGTAGAAAACAATAGCTTCGTACCTAGCTTACACCACAAAGTCTTCCAAAAATAGCTCAAGAACTTAGTATCTTTATCCGAAACAATTGTTCTAGGCATTACATGTAATCTCACAATTTCTCTAAAGAACAAATCAGCAACATGCGAACATCATCCGTTTTGTGACATGGAATAAGGTGTGTCATCTTAGGAAATCTATCCACAACCACAAAAATTGAATCTCTCCCACGTTTAGTCTTAGGCAATCCTAACACAAAGTCCACTGAAATATCAATCCAAGGCTCACTAGGAATTGGTAAAGGAGTATGCAAATCGTTGGACCGCACTCTGGATTTAGCTTACCTACATGTAACACATCTACCACAAATTCTCTCAACATCTCTTTTCATGTGAGGCCAATAGAAGTGCTCCTGCAGAACAACTAAAGTCTTTGCAATTAGTAGAAAACAATAGCTTAGTACCTAGCTTACACCACAAAGTCTTCCAAAAATAGCTCAAGAACTTAGTGTCTCTATCCGAAACAATTGTTCTAGGATGCCATGTAATCTCACAATCTCTCTAAAGAACAAATCAACAACATGCGAGACATCATCCGTTTTGTGACATGGAATAAAGTGTGTTATCTTAGGAAATCTATCCACAACCACAAAAATTGAATCTCTCCCACGTTTAGTCTTAGGCAATCCTAACACAAAGTCCACTGAAATATCAATCCAAGGCTCACTAGGAATTGGTAAAGGAGTATGCAAATCGTTGGACCGCACTCTGGATTTAGCTTACCTACATGTAACACATCTACCACAAATTCTCTCAACATCTCTTTTCATGTGAGGCCAATAGAAGTGCTCCTGCAGAACAACTAAAGTCTTTGCAATTAGTAGAAAACAATAGCTTAGTACCTAGCTTACACCACAAAGTCTTCCAAAAATAGCTCAAGAACTTAGTGTCTCTATCCGAAACAATTGTTCTAGGATGCCATGTAATCTCACAATCTCTCTAAAGAACAAATCAACAACATGCGAGACATCATCCGTTTTGTGACATGGAATAAAGTGTGTTATCTTAGGAAATCTATCCACAACCACAAAAATTGAATCTCTCCCACGTTTAGTCTTAGGCAATCCTAACACAAAGTCCATTGAAATATCAATCCAAGGCTCACTAGGAATTGGTAAAGGAGTATACAAACCGTTGGACCGCACTCTGGATTTAGGTTGCCTACATGTGACACATCTACCACAAATTCTCTAAACATCTCTTTTCATGTGAGGCCAATAGAAGTGCTCCTGCAGAACAACTAAAGTCTTTGCAACTCTAAAATGTCCCATTAATACCCCACCATGAGATTCCTATACTAACAACTCCCTCAAGGAACAATTAGGCACGCATAACTTATTCTCTTGAAACAGGAATCCATTAAGCCTAAAGAACTTACCACAAGCGGTTTTCTCACAAGCCTGGTATTCCTCACAAAATTCGTGGTCATCAGCGTATAAATTTTTAATGTGCTTAAAACCAAGCAATTTTGCATCAAGTGTGGAGAGTAATGCATACCTGCAAGAAAGTGCATCGGCAATCACATTCTCCTTACCTTGCTTATACCGAATGACGTATGGAAACGTCTCAATGAACTCTAACTAGCATTAATATCGTCACTATACATAATGTTTGTGAATAGAAAAGAAATTATGGGAAATTGTATGTTGGATATGGTGGCTGACTATTGTGGTTAACTGAAATTGGAGATTTAATGCAATAGTTTTATACGGGTAGAGCATATATGTTGATCCTAAAGAACCAAGAGTTATTAAAGTATGTTTTTGGTTATAAAAAGTTATGCTGTGAAATTCTGACAGCCTAAACTTCTGAAAATTTTATATATGTTTCGGGTTTGTAAATGAAGCTAAATTTCAGATATTTTGTTTTAGACTTATTAGAGATTGGTTGAAAATTGATTTCACCCCAAAATTCGAAGTATTGGATTTTTTATTGAATTTTGAATTCTGCTATGAAATTCTGGAATTTCATGTTTTCTGTAGAGCATGCATTTTTCAGAACTGAAATACTGCACTTATACTTATCCAAATTGAGTGATTTTAAATTCTGGTGAATCCTATATGTGTCTAGTTTAATTCTGGAGAGTTTCATGAGGTTTAGATTAAGGGCTGAATTGTTATGAATTTTACAAGTCAGTAACCTCAATTCTGGAAACAGTTGGCAGATTTAAATGAGTTGAAAGAAAATTGTGTTTTAAATAGTTATTGATTCTGAAATGACTTAAAATATTACTGGATCAACATATATTTGTCTGAATGCCCCATTGAAATTATAGCTTGATTTGGTGAGTGGATTAAACCAATCTTCTTCCAAACCTTAAATCCATGCTTGAATGTTAATTTGTGATTTTATTTTAAATGTTTTGATGAAGTTTGGTATATAGGATTTATATGTATTCATGCTATATGAATAATGTTGCTGTTGAGAGATAGAGAATTGGTTGAATTGTATACGGGTTGAGGACGTGATGTTGGTAGATGGTTCTTGGTAAAAAGAAAAAGAAGAGGGGTGCATTCTGTCAGTTTTGAAAGTATGTTTAAAACTTGCATTCTACCCCCATTTTGCATGGAATTCATACGATTTGGCATGATTACTTTTATATGAAATGTGGTTATATCTTATGATTAGTGATGGACATATGCTATGGAAATGTGATATTGAAAGTAATTTTTAATCTGGGTTAAACTGTCAGTTTTAAACATGTTTGCAAATTTTCAGTTTCACCCCTGGAGTGATTTTTGAATATTATGTCTATATGTTGATTTAAGCACTTACGAAATATGCTCTTGACTTACATGTTACTTGAGATTATGCATGAGATTGTTATGGTGTTAAAACCACCCTAGAAGTACCCATCCCCCAGTTTTCAGGTTCTGCCCACGCGATGCAGGATTCCGCTGGGTATTGAGATATTTGGTCTTCAGGCCTGCGCATGCGTATTGAGATATTTAGTGCTCTGCCTGGCGTTGAGTTTGTCCGCCAGGTATTGAGAGGTTTTCTTCAGGCTCTCCCGCGCGATGATAGATCTTGCCGGGTATTGAGATGTATTTCCCAGCTCTGCCTGTGGTGGGATGCCCACCAGGTATCGAGATTTTTTCCCCAGGGTACTAGTTGTGTGAGAAACCTTTAGTATCGGTTTACTGTTTCGAAACAGGATATCAGTTTAAAGTTTTCAGATACCAGCCTACAGTTTTCAGTATCAGTTAATAGTTTTAGTTTTCAGTATCTGATGGATAGTTTCATTAGTTTATGAAAACAGTTGATGTTGTAGCATGATTTATAGAAAACGTCTTTAGAAGCATAATTTACAGCAATTCTTTAAGTTCTCATAAAAGAATTTTCAGAAGTTTAGGCTGTCAGAATTCACAGCATAACTTTTATAACCAAAAACATACTTTAATAACTCTTGGTTCTTTAGGATCAACATATTGCTCTACCCGTATAAAACTATTGCATTAAATCTCCAATTTCGTTAACCACAATATCAGCCACCATATCCAACATACAATTTCCCTAATTTCTTTTCTATTCACAAACATTATGTATATGCATAAAAGCACACATGCATCCAAGTTCAACATTTCTAATTATGCCTATTTTATAACCTTTCTCCATCTACTCTTCAATCAACAACATCCACAACTCATCTCTATGGTACAAACAATATTCCAAATAATCAATTTAAACATAACTTTTAAATGCTTGAAACAATAAACATCAAGTAACATGCAACTTGAAAAATGCAAACTTTAGAAAAGGATTTAATGCGTTTTCCACTCACAATTCTAACTCAGCCGAAGCTCCCTACACTCTCCTCCACTCTTCTCTCTCACTCTACCATTTTCAGCCGAAATCCATTCTCCTCTCTTCTCCTTTTTCTTCTTTTCTTCTTTCTTTCTTTCTTTCTATCCTCTCTTCTATCTTTTCTCTCTTATCTTTCTCTCTTTCTCCTTTCCTTTCTTTCTTCTCTCCTTTCTCTCCTCTCTTCTTCTTCTTCTCCCTCTCTCTTCTTCTCTGTTTTTTTTTTTTCTTTTTCTTCTTTTGGGCGAACTGCCCAGTTTTCTTCTTCTTTTAAACCAAATTTTTTTTCTGAAATTATAATATGCCCCCCAAAAATTCTAAATTTCAATCTAACCCCGCCACCTAAGCTTTTCTTTACGAAAATGTCCAAATTTTGTGCCCTTGTTACATGCAAACCCAACAGCTTCCATTTCTTCGTTTTCATCACTAACCAAACTTTAAAATTTGAAAGAAAAGTCCCTCCTTATAAACAAAACCAAAGCGAATATATATATGATTAGAATGGGGTTTTACAACAATACCCAATGCGCATGCCTTTTGTTTAGCTTGTGTTAGCCCTTCAAGTGTTTCAAATACTCATGATCGGTGTGAATCACAAATTCCTTAGGCCATAGGTAGTGTTGCCACGTCTCTAAAGCTCGAACCAATGCATACAACTCCTTATCACAAGTTGGGTAGTTTAAGGCTGCCTCGCTTAATTTCTCGTTGAAGTAAGCAATTGGTCGTCCTTCCTGCATAAGAACTACGCCTATACCAATACTTGAAGCATCACATTCAATCTCAAACGTTTTTGAAAAGTTAGGTAAAGACAATAAGGGGACGTTTGTTAGCTTCTCTTTGATTAATTGAAACACTTTCTCTTGTTCTTCTCCCCATCTAAATTCAATGTTCTTCTTGATCACTTCGGTAAGTGGTGCGGCTATGCTATTAAAGTCCTTCATGAACTGCCAGTAAAAACTAACAAGTCCATGAAAACTACGAACATTACCTACACTTGTGGGACTCGACCACTCTTGGATTGCACATACCTTCTCTTCATCAACCTGTATACCTTGTGCACTAACAACAAATCCCAGAAATACAAGCTTATCGGTGTAAAAAGTACACTTCTTTAGATTAGCAAACAACTTTTATTTCCTAAGCACATCTAAAACAAATTTCAAATGTACTACATGATCGTCCACATTTGTGCTATAAATGAGTATATCATCAAAGTAGACAACAACAAATCTACCTATAAA